CAATGATGGTCTCCACATATTCCGAGTTGTCGTTTACATTGAAGAGGTCACCTGCTCCCAGGGCATAGTTCAGAGACTCCTCAAAAGCTCCCAGGTGGTAAAACACTTTAGAAGCCACGAGAGCAGCAAACTGCCGGCTCCGAAAGCCCTCGTCTTCATAGAGAACTTCACTGCAGAGACGAGAGAGAAGAACATCAGCTCTGTGTACTCAGATCTCTTTAAGGCCACATCACACAAGTACAAGCTTGGGACTTCCATCTTTGGGACTACAGCTCCAACCCCACATCCACGCACCTTAGTGCTTTCCAGGAAATATGGAGCTAGATGCTGTACTAGCCAGTGTCAAGCAAACAGAACTACACCCACTTTTTATATCTCATGTTCTTTTTAAGCAGCACACCCCAAAGTATTAAGTGTTTTCTCTTACATTTTGTCCACTGACTCAGAGATTTCTGCCCAGAAGTCATTGACAACAGCATTCAACTTGTGAAGAGCAAACTCCTACCAAAAAAAAAAAAGTTTTATTACATTAAAAATGCATTTACCACCTTTCCCCAGTAAAAATTAAGTACCCTCTAAGATGGATATCATAAACACTGACCTATTTCAACAGCAAATTCTATTTTAAAAGATCTTTGCAAGTCCTTTCCAAATAAAAGGCTGTTCATTTAACAGGTAAGGCAGCCCTGGCATTCCTTCCCATGGTCCCTCTGTGATGAATGACTGGCTAAAGCAACTGATAGGTGAAATTCCTCGAAGTGCAAAGTTTTCAAAGTCTTTGTGACAATCTTTGTGTGCTCCATGCCAGCCAACTCTATTTATTTATAGGGACACAGTACTTTAGCAGGCAAACAGTATCCAGACTGGAATCAGTCCACTTGTAAAAGCAGGGCTCATTTGGATCCAGCACCACCTGTGTCTTATCCAAAAAAATCATTTAGTCGATTACCAACTTACAAGGTACATCTTCCCCTCCTAAAACGGGCCACCTTAACTGTTCAAGTAACTGGTAACCATTAACACACCACCCTTCTGAGGGTTTGCTGTTCTGTGGATTCATTATGCTTTAGACACTGTAAAGTTTCTGCTGCTGTTTTCTTTTCATACTACTACTGTGGTTTTTTTTTTCCAAGTGAAAACTTTAACTGTGATTTTGTTCTACATTGCTAAAACTACGCTAAAAACTCTAGATCTTCTTCAGCTTTGAATTTTACAGAGTCTAAATGCAGTCTCTGGAACAATTTTAAGTAACAAAGTGCCGTCACCATCAGAGAGCTGGGAGCTTTGATGAACAGAGATTTTACATTTGAAGTTCTGTTTTGATCCATGTTCAAAACAAGGAAGTTTGCCATCTGTTATCCTGTTACTTAAGCCCTTTCTTTCAGCTTGCAGGCTGGATACAATTTCATGCCCACCTGTTGCTGTCCAACCATTAATTATCAAGATCCACTCCTTTTTGATTTTAACCTCTCAACATAATGCATTTGCTGCTGTTTGCTCTCAGATGTAAGAGCTTACCTTGAGCTGTGGCTCTTCTTCATCCAGAAGAGAGATAATTCCAGCTGCAAAGCAAGATCATAGTCAGTTTTGGACTCTCTGTATCAAAAGCGAGCTTCTTATTTAGTTCAAAACCAACAGAACAGGAAAGAAGGCTGTCTCTGGACTGCTGGTTTCAAATCTTCAGTATCAAATTTCAAAAATCAGATTCAAGTTTGTATAAACATGATGTAAAATAGTTCAGAATTTATAACTGAAAAGGCACATTATTTATAAAAGATGATCCTTCTTAGAGAAAAACATATTAGACAAGAACTCAGAGAATGTTTTCATGCCAAGGCAGCAGGCCTCATGGATAAGAGATGTCACACCTCATAACTTTTACAAGACTCCCGATGCTGTCCCAGAACATTTGTACAAACATCTACAGAAATATTGTTTAACTGACGTGACTGCGAGGTTCACAGATATTGGGGGAGCTTAATCTGAAGAACCAATCTCTGGGTGGTTTCACTGTCAGACTGCAAGGATGCAACAGAAAGGGTCAGAAGAGGATTTGATCAAAGTCCAACCCAATTCAGTGCTTTAAATCTTTCATCTGTTGTACAGCTTGAGGACCTTCTAAATCTAAGATGTGAAACTGGGAAGGCTGGAGGACCATGGGCTGAACTGGGCTTTCAAAAGATCTTGACAAATCTAAAATGATCATGTGCAGGTCCAAACTAAAATGTACAAATAGAGAATACAAACAGCAGAGAGGGTTAAGATGAAACACGATCAGTGATATCACTTGGCTGCAGTGGGAGAAGGAGAAGACAACTCTCACACAGATGTGTGAGAGCAGTTCTTGGCAGATCCCTGAGGCACCTTCCCTCCCCTTGGCACCACATCCCAGCCCAGCCCCGTGTCCAGAGCTGGGCACCATCTCGTGAGAGTCACAAGCAAACCCAGGAGTTCAGAGCTGGGCAGGAAGAACAGGGAGCTCTGGGAATCAGCTCCTGAAGCGTGGCTGGAGGCTTGGAACTGGTTGGTCTATGGAAATCTGGGAAAGGTGCAGAGTCCAGGTACAGGGCAGCTGGGGGAAGGGAATAATCTGACCTTTGTGTCAGATATGAACAGGAGGAGTAAGACCAAGCTTTAGTGAAGCTTCACAGAATGAGGTTTGATGGTATGAAAAGTCTTCTCACAGTAACACAGTTATGCACTTTGCCTATCAAGGTCACAGAGACTCCATTATCTTTTTAAAAAAAGAGATCTTTTAAAAACCAGGTGAGACACAGGTCCATCAGTAGCAGCAACTGAAGGAGCACCAATGGGGCTTCTGGGCAGGGAAGGCAGGTTCAGCAGCCCAGCCCACAGTGCTCCTTCCAGCTGCTTTCTGAAACTCTACTCCAAACATTTGCTTTGAGGGTTTTTGTGATTTTTTAAAAATTTTTTATTTTAAATAAGCTCCTGTGTTCCTGATCTTTCAGGAGGAAACAATCTCTCTCACACACTGCCTACACATCTCACTTCAATATGTCATTTTTACATTTTTAAAGCCCCTCCAAAATGAATTCCTACTTCCCATTACTTAAAAGTAGGAGTTAAACAAAGCAAAGGGCTCAGAAAGAGAAAAGCACTTGGGGACTGTTGTCCTCTGCACTGTTCCTGCGGCAGAGCCACAACCATACAGGTGTTAATTCCTGGCCTGAGTATTTTTGGAAATACTTCCCGTATTTTCTCACACTCTCGAGCTCTCAGTAGGCCCACAGTGTGTAACATCTCCTTCCTCACTCGCCTCATTATCCCGGCCTCTTCGGACTGACATTTACTCCGCGAGGCATTCGCGTTCCCGAACTCCTCCGAAGTCCTTCCCATTCCCTCTCTCAGTCCCTGCCGCACCTCCCGTGGACCCTGAGAGCCCCCCGGTTTCACACCCCCCACGCGGTGTCCCCTGGAAGCACCGAGCCCTCCTCTCACATCCCCTGCTCACCCCCCCCGCACCGCCCGGACCCGCACGGGCACCGGAGCCCTCGTGAGGCACCGGCAGGTCACGGCCGTGCCGCACCGCAGAGCGGCTCCCGTGGGTGCCCGGGCCGGGGGAGCCCCGTGAGGGGCGGCCCCGCCGAACCGCGGCGTTGCCCAGTCACGGCCCTGACTCAGCGAAACCCCGGCGAGCAAACGCGGCCGCGCGCCGCCGCCTCACCGGCCGAGGTGATCATGGTGGCGCCGGGCTGTCCGTCGGGGCGCGGCGCGGGGGGCACGGGGGGTCCGAGGGGTCGCTCCGGTCCGGCCCAGCCGCGGTGCCGCCACCGCCCGGCCCGGAAGTGCCGCCCAGGGCCCCTTCCGGCGGCTCCGCGCTGCAACCGGGAAAGGTGCCCGTGGCGATCGCCTGCGCGGGACGGCGGGGAAACCTGCAGGCGGAAGTGGGGCAGCCCTGCCGCGGGGGTCCTCGCGCCTCCCTCTGCCCTTCACTGACAGCGCGGGGTCTGCACGAAGCGTCGGAGACCCTGCACAGCCCACAGAGCCCACACGGCACCCGCACAGCCCACAGAGCCCACACGGCACCCGCACAGCCCACAGAGCCCACACCGGACCCGCTCAGCCCACTCCTGATACTTGGCATGGGAGGGTGCTCAGCCCTCCCAGCCCACACCCCACAGCCCGGGAAGGGGGCCGGAGCTGTGGGGTCCCCATAGGGGACCCCGTCAGTGCCCGTGTTCGCGCCGTGCCCAGAGAAGTGGCTGTGCCCCCATGCCAGGACAGGCTGCCCGCAATGAGGAGGCATCTTTGGGGGCACAGCGTGTGCCTTGGCGTCACAGGGATCAGGGATTTTACCTCATGGACTTACCACCTCTTGCCGGCCGCCTCTGACTCTTCTTAAATGTGTTTCCATGGGGAAAGGCCTTACCCAATCCCATCTCTCCCTTGAAAAGGGAAGCACAAGGACAGAGGAGTCTGACAGCCCCCTACCAAATCCCTTTCCCCTTCCATCATTTGACAGCACAGGGCAGTGACCAGATCTGCACAGACACAGACCTGAAGTTGCCCCAGTCGCAGAGGAACATGGAGTTATTTTGGCTCCTGCCTTGCTTCTGGTACAGACAGATGGGACACGCAGGCTGGTGGATTTGCAAAAGGGAAAGTCCAGCTCAACAGCAATGGTGCTGCCTTCTGGAGGGTTTGAATTCCCTGATGGCATCAGTGAGTGAAAGTTATTAATGAAAGTTCTTAATTAAAGTTCTTGATGAAGGTTACCAGAGACCTACCCAAGACACCAAGAGGGGCAGCTCCACCTTAAAGACAACTGGGAAGATCTCCTGCCTTCCCCACTGCCCCACTTGAGCTGCTCACAGACCAGTTCTGCTGGTCTTCCAGATATCATACAGTGGGGTCACTTTCATTCCCTACCCATATCCCTTTTATTCAAACCAAGATAAATATGAGTTAAGCCATGGATAATGCTACTTCAAGGATACACCATGGCAAACAAACAAACAAACAAAAAAAGCACATTCCAATTCAGAAATTAAATGTCTTTATTTTTTACAAAAAGCACATAACAGTACCCTTACCTTATTAAATAAATGAAACATGTAAAACTATCTGCTTACAGCTCCATGTGTCCAGATGGTGAAAAAAGACAAGAGCAAAAAAAAGAAAAAAGGATTCCAGTCACTTTTATTCCTCAGTCAAAGGTAAACAACACTTTTGATCAAAAGTATTCCCACTCACATCTCCTAAAGCCCCAGGCAGTTCATCTGCTTCCACAGAAGTCTTCCTGAAAGGGTAAACTTGCATGATTTACCTGAAAATTACCAGTAAATAAATCCATTGGATTTTCAGCACCAAGGTAAGTTTAACTGCAAATCTGTGCTCTTGGGCCACCTCTGCATTGCTGAATTCCTGGCAGCAAAGGCCAAATGCTGCAAGAAAATAAAGATTTCCCCCACCACAGTGTCAAGTCCTACTGGACTCACCGAACCAAGGGCTTTATTGGGACATACAGACCTGCCCAGTGACCTGGGCTCTGCTGTGCAGACAAGCAGAGGGACTTCCCTGCACAGCAGAGCCATGGGCTCGTGCCAGGGATGGAGCAGGAAGGAACCTTCATCCCACCAAGATGCACTTAGTGCTCAGTGCTGAAACCTGGGGTCACGCATAGAGCCACTCACACCAAGTGTCTTCATTGAGTCACTTAGTTACATTTGTATTTTCCACCTGGTCATTAGCACAGAAATCCTGTAGAAATCCTGCAGGCTTGAAGGAGAGCAGGTCGGTGCCCTCTCTGCAGAGCAACATGCTCTGTCAATGCCAGCTGCTCTCCACAGCCACATCCACACAGGAAAGTGTTTCTGCTGTGAAGAGACGTGACATGCACTTCCCCAAAGGCTGCTCACATGGACTTGGCATCCTGGCAACACTCCCCCCTCTTGCCCACTCCAGCATGCCCCAGACACCCTCAGCCACACACTCCTCCAGCCCAAAGGGCAAAGCAACACCATCACTAAAGGGACCAGTTCCAAACCTGAGAGCTGCTGCTCTCTGCTCCAGTGTTACCATCATAACCCCGGCGGGGTAGGCAGGTGTTGGTGTCCCCATCCCACTGGTAGGGAAACTGAGGCACAGAAAAATGATGTGGTGAAAAATATTGATGATCATGGTCATGAGTGGAGCTGGGTAAAAAAAAACATCCCTTGCTCCAGATAAGAGCTAGAGAGATGCTGAAGGCACAGTGCTGGGAGAGAGTGCTGGCCAGAGCTGGCAGGACTGCAGGCACTTCAGGTGCCACTGGGAAAAAGGAGCCGGAGAGGGGACAGACATGCACAGAGGATGTACTGACACAAATCAGCGCTAACCCAGAGGAGAGGTAGGCATGATACGACAGGTTGAATTTGCTGATCTGAACTGGATCAAACTCCTAAAGAACCCAGCAGCTTGTGCTAAAAATAAAATAAGACATGTTTTATGTTGCATAAAGTAAGAATGGAAAAGGTAGTAATATTTCTCATAAACCAAGGATTTATAATTATTTGTGTTGCCACACAGACTACAGGCAGCCCTTTGGAACTACTTAAATAGATCATTTTTATATATTTATTCATGAAGCAGCCACATCTTGTGTTACCTTTCACCTCCAAGCTCTGCCATCACATAGCTGTGGAGATGTCCCAGGTAAGATGGGCCTCTCCCATAGCCCCATCCAACACCTGCCACACCTTACTGTCCATCTGCCACCCCTCCAACCCAGGCAGTCCATCAGCCAGTCTGTGAGCACTAGGACAAGCCAGAGGAATCCTGCTCCCAAATCACACTCTGCTCAAGCTGCCATTACTATCAATATCTTTTATATTATTCCTGCTACCCACAGTGGGCTGTTACTCCATTCTTCACTTTACACAGTTACACTCAAGCCTTTTCAGTAGCTGGTAGATCCAGGACCTCATTTAGTCCCACTGCAGTCTCTCCACACCACTGTCACTTGTCTTTTTTTTTTTTTTTGGCTCGATCACAAAGAGAGTGGGAACTTCAAAGCACCAATAAAGCAGGAAAACAAGGCAGCAGAATTGGTCTGCCAGGGAGGCCAGCCCTGGCAGCCTCAGCAGGGAACTTTGCTCAGAATTAGAAAATGCTCCTCATTCTTCAAACAGGTGGCTGCATTTCATGCTCAAATTCCCAACGTTATCTTGCCCAGGATATGGGATACATCCCCAAAGGCCTTCTCAGAAGCCCAGTGTCCAGCAGCAGCTCCAGGCACAGCAGGGAATGGCTCTCTGGCACAGACCCCAGAGGCTGTTGGCAGCTCCAGAAGACCCTGAGGAGTTCAGCTGAGCAGCTTCTCCATGGAGTGGTGGGTCCTTGGAGGAGAGGGTGAGTGAGCATTGCACAGCTCCTCCTCCCACTGCTCCAAATCCACCGGGCAGATCTGGGATGTGGACTGTGCTGGGTGCCCAGCAGCTCTAGGTGCCTGTGCCTCCAGCAGCTTCTTCGCAGTTTCCATTGGGGGACAGGCTGGTCAGAGCCACTTCTTCCTCGGGGTCCTGCAGGCCATCTACAAAGAGCAGAGAGAGGTCAGGGGAGATCTGAATGAAAAACCCTCATACAAAATATAAAAGATGAAAAGAAAGCATGGAATGAAGCAGTTGATGTATACTCATAGTCTAAGCACAACTCATTTTTTTCGTAACTGAATTTCATTTTGTTTTATGAACTCAACATTGCTTCAGCAAATAGAGCAAAGGAGCACAGGGTCCAGCTCCTGGCCTCCTGAAGTCTCAGCAAGCTCAGAACAAGTTGCATGGCCACAAGGCATCATTTGCCTGGCACTGACAGCAAGATCAGGCACTCTTCTGACCCTGAAAGACCTGTCTCAAAGCTACACAAAGTGGGCATTTCAGTTGTTTTCTCCAGACTCCTATGCACTTTAAGCATTTTATGTGTTTAAGAGGCATTTAGACAATATCCTTAATAAAATCTTTTAATGTTTTGCAAGCCCCAAAGTGGTCAGGCAGTTGGACTAGATGATCATCATAGGTCCCTTTCAACTGAAGATATAATATATTCTATTCTTTTTACAGCAAAGGAGCTTTCCCTCCTCTTTGTGCTTCATAGAACAATCTAGATCTCCACACTACACACCTTGTAGGCACCTGCATGAGGCACTTCTGCAGAAAGAAAATCACTGCTGGGAAAGGCAAGCAGAAGTGCCAACTGTGCACAAAGGCTGAACACAAGACTATTTGTTATCTGAACAATTTCCTTTAGAATCAGGGAGCCCAAGGCTGATTGCCCTCTCCCTTCTCTCTGCCAGCCCCAAAGGCAAGTGGTTTGAACACTCCTTCCAGCTGTGTTTGCAGGAAACACCATGTAACATCAGAGTGATACTTCTAATTCATTGTTTAGCCAGACAGTAGTTCTGCTGCCAGAAACTCCAGCAAAAGGCAGCTGAGTTCAGCAGTGCTTCCAGGGGTATATTTGGGCACTGGACCCAGCATGGCTTTGTTTAGGCAAGCGAAAGATCAGAAAACAGGGAGACAGCAACACAAAAGACAGATGTGTGCTGGTTGTCTTCAGGTTTGGGCCAAACCACAGCCAGGGAAGAGAGGCCACCAGAGCTGGAAATAGCTGAAGGAGGCCACCAGCAAGGGGCTTGGGCACCAGGGAGTCAGTGAGGAACCTCTGATGGTCACAGTAGAGTACAAGGGAGGGAGCAGGGCATACCTTCATGAATGTTGTTTGCAGCTTTTGCTTTGTGATCTTTTCTCCAGCTCCTCTGTTTCCAAGAAATGCACCGCAGGAAGGATGGTAGCCTCCACCTCTCCCTGTCTTTCGCCTCTTCTGAATAAATGAGAGAAGGTGAGTTCAGACTGGTAGCAGGTCAGCCCTGCTGCTGCCCCACTTCTACTCCACAAGCCCAATTTCTCAAAGCAAAACCAGGTCCACACCACAGAGCCACCCATGGAAAGCACAGAGCAGTTCCTGACAATCCTTATTTCTGGCTGAAACCTCTCTTCTATCCTGGAAATTTGTCTCCAGTGTCAGTTTGTACTTTTTACCTCACTGCCAAAATCATTCTGGAGGCAGCAGCGCAGAGCAAGCAAGAAACCTGGCAGGAGCTCAGCCAGCTCAAGTGGCAAGGCTGGGAATTGACCTGGTGAGGGAATTCCCACAGAAGGAAGATTTTCTTTTGCATTATCACACAGCTTCTGCACCATCAACCTATTTACTGTTCCCTGCTTTATTAAGCAATTCCCTGAACACACACAGGCTTGCAGCACACTGAAAACTGCAGCAAATTGCAGAGAGCCTGTGGTCGATGTATTTATTCTGGAAGACAACAAAGTTACTACAGATTTTCAAGCCATTATAGTAAAACACTACAGCAGCTTGTAAAATACTACAGCAGTGTAATTTTTATGGTCTCCAACAGCAGCAGTTCAGCATCTCCATTGAGCCTTTCATCTCCTAATCAGATAACAAATGATAACAAATTCAGTGTCCTTCAGCTTATCAAACCATTGCGACACTAAAGGGTTCACAGTGACAATCCTTCCTGCCAGTCAACAAAACAAAAGCTCTAGTGCACTGCCTGGCATGGCTCTTTAGAGGCATGGCTATGCTTGGGATCCCTCTGTCCACATGGAGATTTTGGAAGGCAGGACTCACAGGAGCATGGAAAGAAGCTGTCCCTGCCTAAGGCTGAACCCTAGAGCTGATGAGTGTCCTCATTACACATGCAGGTCCTGGGACACTTACATGACTCAGAGCACCAGGCAGAGCACCAGAGCTGAATTAAAGCTGAGTCCTCCTACCCACCACAATTATAAAGCACACAGAAACAGGCTGCAACACCCAATCTAGCTCCTCCTGCTCCTCGTTCTCCACAGCTACATATACTGAGTCAAGCACTAGCAGCGTGCCAAGGTAGAAAAAGGTCATGTATGTCATGTATGCAGGGGTGCTTTTCTGCATCTGCAGCTGATGCCCCACCAGGCTGCTGTGACCAGAACTGGAGGACTCACTGATGTCTGAGAGCACACCAGAAATTCTTGCAGCAGCAACAATGTGAGGAAGACAAAAACTTGCAAAAGGAGAGAAGTTGGAGAGCAGATTGTGCATGCCTCAGTTACAGAGTTGGCAGAAGACAGCCCTGTGCCGTCACAATGGGTCCTCGCCATCTCAAAGTTTCTCGATGTTCAGATCCAAGATTCTGGGCTGAGCTGATGGAAAAAAGCACCTGAACTGCAGCCAACTATCCCAATGTCCCAGGGATCCCAGAGGACCCTGTCAATGTGATGCTGAAGGCAAGTGCCAGGACCCATTACGGTAAAGGCAGCAAGACAGCAGAACACTCGAGCCCCTGGAAATGCTGGGGAGCAAGGGAAAAGTGGGAAAAAATGTAAGAAGGGAGGATGAAAGGGGAACAGCCCAAGACAATCAGTGCCAAAGATTAAGGTGTTTTGCGTGGCATCTGTGACAGCAGAGCCTGCCCAGCTGCCCATCACCCTGCAGTGGCACACAAACATGACTCACCTTTCGCCTCAGAACAAGTGCTGTTCCTCAGGCCTGACTGACACCCAGCTTTCATCCTGCCGTCCTCACCTTGACATATGGTTTTACACCCAAACAGTGACTTGCTGTTCTCACTTATTCATTTTGTAAAATCAGCATAAGCATCTTCCTCCTGCAGGAAGGTCAGGTCCTGCCTGCACCCTACAGCATGGGCCACACCCAATCCTGCATCCCTCAAGAACACACGTGGAACAAGCATGGAAGGCCACCATGTCAGGGATGGCCAGAATGTCACAACTGTCACCTGCCACATCCCTGTTATCCGTGAGCTGCTCCAGTACTTCCCAAACTGCTGGGATATTTGTCCAGCCGCTAGAACTGGGAACCTCACCAAAAAGCGACAGATCCCACTGGGAAGGCTCAGATCCCGCTAACATGAAAGAGGTCTCATTGGAGAAGGACCCCATCAGGAACGGTCAGATCCCGATGGGAAAAGCCAGATCCCATTGAGGAGGAGATCCCATCAGGAGATCAGATCCCATTAGGATGGGGTAGATCTCACCAAGGAGGGGAAGATTCCGCAGGAAAACGGAGGAAATCCCGCTATAAAATCCCCAAGGTGAGAAGGAGGAAGGGTCGGGCCGGGCCCCCGGTGTTCCCCCCGTCCCGGTCGGTACCTGCGGGGTGCTGCAGGGCGGCCCGCAGGGCGCGGCAGGCGGCGGCGCGGCACTCGCCGGGGCAGCCGGGGCTGTACCGGGCCGCCTGCACCGTGCCGGGCGCCGGGAAGTGCCGCCGCAGCGCCGCGTCCAGCACGGCCGCGTCCTCGCCGTCCCCGCCGGGCAGCAGGACGCCCACGACGGCGGGCGGCGGCGCCGCGGGCAGGCGGCCCCGCACGTCCCGCACCACCTCCCGCAGGCGGGCCCGGGCCCCGCGGCCCCGCACCGCCCCGCTCAGCACCAGCAGCAGCCGCGCTTCCAGCGCTCTCCGCCGCCCGCCGCCCGCCCGCCGCCGCCGCGACCGGCACCCCGGCACCGGGCACGGTGCGGGCGGCGCCTCGTCGCCCAGGAGGTCGCGGGCAAAGGCGGCCATCGCGGGCGCCGCCGGGGCTCCCTCGGCCACCTCGGCCACCAGCAGCACCGCCCGCCGCCCGCCCGCCCGCTCCACCAGCGCCCGCAGCTCCTGCAGCTCCGCCGCCGCCATCCCCCGCCGTGCGCCCTGCCCGGCCCCGCACCCGAACCCGCACCGCCCCCAGCCCCGGCTCCGCACCGCCCACTGCCCCGCACCCGCCCCGCCACCCGCCACCAGCCACCAGCCCCGGCCCCCGCGTAGAGCAACACCCCCTGCGCACACCCCGGGCAGCGGGGCGGGGGCGGAATGTTACGGATTGCCCCCCTCCATCCCCGTCCCGTCCCCGCACACACCCCCGGGGAACAGCCCCCGCCTGCTGCAGGGTGGGCACAGAGGAGATGGTATTAGTGGGGGGCACGGGACCCCCCGATCGGCCACACAATCAGACTCGGAGCTCTTGCACGGGCTGGTCTTGTTTCACATGAAGAGGTGATAAAATTCAGGCAAAAATCGTGCTGTGGAGGGGCTAGGAATGTGAGAGAGGGATGAGCAGAGACTGTGGTGACTGCAAAGTGGGACACACACGGGGCCACAATAGAGGAGCAGCTGATCATACACCTCAAAGGGTATAAGGTGTGCCTTAGGGTGTAACATCCCATACCCCAGGGCAGTGATGGAGTGAACTCCCTGGCATCGTGTGCCATTGGCACTACGAAGCTGCACAGACTGGCCGAGCTATAGCCACACCTGGAAACAATTCCACTTTGGAAATAATTATGCCTTCAAAGGACATACCCACCCCACTGGTCACAAGTTTCCCAATTCGTACCCGGCTGAGCTGCAGTCCCCAAACCACACACTGCATCTCTGAATCCCTCCCCAGATCAGTGCCCTTTGGCTTTCCTTCTGCAAACATCACATCCATCCCCCTCCACACAAAACACAGCCCACAGTCACAGCCCCACCAGCATCATCAGCGCTCTACAGTGATACACACATGTCCCAACAAAGCACAAATGTTTGCAGGGGTAAATCTGGAGCATTAGTCAGGGCTTTGCTTTAGTCAGGGCTTCAGTGCTGGCGCTTGTTACACGTATCCCACAAGCTGGCTCTGCCGTCTGAGGGCGAATGAAAGCCTCTGTGCCCAGCCCTGGCACTTGCACGGGGAAGCTCCAAACCATGCCATGTGGTAAATACTTCCCCTCTGCCATATCAGAACTGGCTCCTCCAAACTGGCAACGGTAATATCTTATCATAACCTGGGAAGGGATAAACAGCTCAAAGGTGCAAACGGCCAGAATCACCTTGGCTAGTCCCTCTCTGAGGCCGTTTGAAGCCAAACCATCTCTGAGTGCACTGGGGGGGTGAAAGCAGAGCCGAAATCCATGTGCCTGCCCTGGATCAGTGATTCCCAACACGTGCATAGGGGCACACTTGTGCCAGGAAGGTGTCTGAGCCAGGTACCTGCTCCCTGCCCTTACTCGTGGCCATCTGTCCCCAGAGCCCAGCAGATCAGCAGCCACAGCACCGCGAGGGATGTGCCACAGGCTGGTCCTCAGGCTGGTGACAGCTCGGGAAGGTCACTGTGCATCACCAGTTTTAATCTTGGAAAACATTTGCCCCAGGTATGACAGTCTGAGCAAATGCTACCCCAGGCCAGCATCGTGGGGCTGGACAGCCCAGGCAAGGGTTTCAGAGAGACTTTCTGCCCTGGGTCCTAGCAAAAGTAACTTACTCATTACATGTGCTGATAAGCAAATGGGGAGGGAAGAGGGGAGATAAAACAGAAGGATTAGGCTCCTCTTCCAAAGATCAGGGTCTATTGTTGCAAGAGCCTACGCTTCCATGCCAACATGATAGCCCTCGCAGCAGCTGTCAACATGGCAGGGCTAAAGTCAGACATAACTCAACAGCCAGGTCTGGCCTTAGTATTGCTCAGATTTTGTACTAACAAGGATTTTTTTCTCATCTGTTCAGAATCCTGGTCATGGCCCTCATGGGCCAATGGAGAAACGTCCAGGTGTAATCAGCACCATGAGCTCTGCCAGCAGCAGCAGGAGGGGCCAAGAGGGTGTGATGGTCCCAGAAACCCTCATCTCCCTGCAGACTGCCACAAGAAGACCCACAGAGTGTTTAAACTCCTTATGAGCTGCCTGCACAGCCTGTCCTGTGCCCATTACACCCTTCCTGAGCCCATTTACAGTACAGGTCTCACAGGGTTTTCAAGCAGTGCCGTGCCAGTGACTAGCCTGGAGATGCCAAGATGCCTCAGGCATTGGGAAGTTGGCTTTCAGGCAGGCAATTCCCAAGATTTATGAAGATAAATCTTGTAGAGAAAGTATAGAAAAAATTGAAGTTATCTTCCTAACTCAGCTCAGAAAGCACACCATTGGCTACTTTTCTGCAGCAGCCACAGTGTTTAAACTGCCAGGACAGCCACTAAAAAGTAATATTTGGGACTACATAGAACTGTTCTCCATGGCCACTGCAATTCTTTAGTTAATTTTGGGTACACACCAGCAAAGGCTGGTTGGAAAGCTGAATGTCACCCACAATACCCAAACAACCTTGTTTACATTTCTTTACTCATTAACAGAGGTAAGATTTAATAGCACATACAACTTTATCTCCTTTTGTGTTACTTAAAGAGGTACCACTCAAACAGATCAGAGGCACTCATGAGCTCAGCAGCCGCGTTTGTAGTCCCCCACAAAGTGTCTTCAGAGCCCTGTCAGGAATCTGAGCAAAAACACAGATATATTTAGAAGGCCTGACACTCCTTCAAGTATCTATCTGAATGTCACAATTGTAGAGAATCTCTACAGACAGCCCTAAATGAAAGTAATCACACCTCTTACATATGCCCATAGCTGTTCAGAGCAGACACAACAGCTGCTCATTTTGGACTTCAAAGGAGGAGAGAAGATGCTTTGTTCAGAGAAATAAATTTGGCATGTGTATTAGTAGTGTCTTGAAGTCTAAACAAAATCAAAGGTCTGGATTAGAGCCCTTAAGAAGTGCATTTACCAAGATTAACCTTGCTTCTAAAGAGAGTAGAAAGAGGATGGAAAAAGGATTCTCATGCTAATTTTGACGCAGCAGCGGTGCTCACGGGAGCACATGGAAAAGCCTCTGAGCCAGCCAGGAATGGGAACTGGCTGCTGACAAGCTAAGCCTTAGCAAATCTTTGCACAAGTGCTCTGTCACAGACCTGCTCTCCCAGACTGCTTCAATTTACTGCTTTGGAAAAACACGTCCTTATGAGTTGCTGTGAAGCATCTGCTTTACTTGTGCAGCACTACCAGGAGCATTGCTGCAGGGCACCAGCACTTCACTGAGCTCTTCATCCAGGGAGATCTGCTAGGATCCTCCAAAGAAGTAGCAGAGGAGGTAATAGTGAGAGAAGAAAATACCCGAAACCTCATCTATCCCGTTGCCCTGAACATCCCAGTCCCACTGATACCCTTCTAGCCTGTCTCCTGTTCACTCCTCCATGGCTCTTCCAATCTCCTCCAGTGACCTTCCCCAAAACTCCTCTCAATCTTTCTGGCCCCTGAACACAAACCTCTTCCTATTTTTCACCCATTGAAGCCTGAACTTTGTATCAAACCAGACAGAACCCTTTCTGTTACAAGTTCAGTCACAACGAAATCCAAGCTGGGTCATCACTTTGTTCTGCCCAGGTCCCCTTGCCCCAGACCTCCAGGGACAGCTGGGTCAGCTCCAGTTTTGGTCCCGTGGCAGCCTGTACCAACTCAGCCCTGGCCTGGATCCATGCAAGTCATCACACTTCTCTGAGCTCCACTCAGGGGAGGTTACACACCATAAGCAAATAAAGTTGGGAACTTCCAGGCTGCCCTATGCCAGGGACACACCCTTGCTTCCTGATGGGGAACCTCAAAGATTTCCCTGCCTCTCTTCTCCCAAATCCTGTTCCCTTTGAAAGCTGTGCCTCTTCCTGCCCATCTCTGGAGTTGTCCTAATTTTCCTCCTGTTTCCTTAAGTCATCGTCCCTTTCTGGATGGCAAAGGGGCATTGGAAGGTATGTCTGAAGAGGAGGATGGGAACCTGGCACAGGGCCATGTGCAGGGAGCCCAAACTGTTGTGTCAGTCGTGATCACACAATAGGAGAGATGCCTCTGCCTGTCACCTTAGAGATGGATGGAGGCTGCCCCTCAGGCTGCTCTGCTCTTTGATCCTCCACTGGAAGATGTTGAAAAACTGGCAATAAATATGAAATCAGACCCAAGGACCAAGCTGCCTCTTTTGGCCTTTTTTCTGGCTGTCCTCCCAGACCCTCATCTGGACCTTGCTTTTGGTTTGACACCAGGACCCATGACTAGCTGTTCACAGCCACCAGTCTCCATTCTTTCCCAGTACACATGTGCCTTTGACACCAGCAGCCCAGCTTTTCTGTGCTTACCTTTTGCAGCACCTCTTAAAAAATCACCCCAAATGTCACCAAGATGGAAACCAGTAGCTGGGGACCACTGCAAGGAGATGCAGCCCCTCCTGCCTCCCTCACGCTCCCTCTTGCCTCCTCCATCCTCCTCCACAAAGCCTCTTCTTGCCACAGGCCAAGCTCTCAGGTTCTCAGAACTGCTCTCTTTAAAAAGGCAAAGAAAGGGCAGATCATCAGCTTCCCAGGCTGGAGTTGCTCTGATGGGTAGAGCAGGCGGGTTTGGTTCTACCTGTGCTGACACTGTTGAGCCCTGAAAGAGGCCACAGAGAGGCCCTTCTGGTACACTACATGGCACCAAAGGGCAACTGAGCTTTGCCCGGGCATGTAGTGCCAGATCAGTGAGGAGCAGGGCTAGGCAAGGGTGTTTCAGAAATGTACAAGCTTGGTCTGGATGGCAAAGCTTGGCTTAGGTGCTGTCTTGAGCAAGATCATCTTCCAGAGGTTACACACTGATCCTCAGGTGTCAAGAGCCCACAGGACAGCTGCTCTCTGCTGCTCACAATGTGTGATGCCAGCTGAGCAGAGCAGGTTATTCTCTTCTGTTCTGGGAGTAGAGCTGTTGCCCTTGGCAGACTTCTGGGCCATGCAGCAGTGCTCCTTATGCCTGCTGGTGTGCCTCCTCCTTGGGCTGCAGCTGAGCTGGGTGAAGAGGGTTCAGGCCACAGCTCTTTGTTCCCACTTTGCTCCTGGCCAGCCTGGCAGCAGAGCTGTCATGTGAGAACCCACCAACCTTGCATTAGTCAAAGTGAGAAAGGCATTCAGCATTTAAAGAGCAGATGTCCCATGACTTGCCTTTGTTGGACTACAGCAAGTTGGGAGAGAAGTCCCAGCAGCAGAGCAGGGAGCTCTAAGACTCCTGTATATCCACCCAGGATTAGATGGAGAATGAAGCAAGGTTGCAGCTTGAGAGCATCCATGGCATTCTGTCTCCTCTCCTCCTCATCCCAGCCACGCTGCCCTGTGCCTTGCAGGGCATTCCTGTGCTCCCAGGCCCTGGCCAGAATTTCAGTCTCAAAGTTTCTTTCCCCTTTCACCAGCAGTGCTTGGCAGTGCTGCACATCACCCTGCACAAAAGTGCCTGAACACAGTGCAAACATGCTGCCAAAGGAGAAACTTGATTGCTGCATGGCCTATGCCTGGATTTTGGTGGTTATCCATGAATTTCAGATGCCACAGGAAATAACAGAAACACAGGACCTCATCGTGGCTACTTGCTTTAAGGATGTCCTAATGTGCTGATCAGGAAGCTCTTAACACCGACCTTCCTACACTCACAAACAGCCTGAACTGTACACGTCTTGCATTGACTCAAGGGAACTATTTCTGCATTAGCTTCATCCATAAAACAAAAATCAATGTCCTCGCTACTGAAGGGCGTAATTCCTCTTCAGATGCCCAAATGCTCGTGGACAGTCTCTTCCACAACAGAGCAATTGGGTCACCTCATCCAAAAGGCTGCCAAGCACCAGCACTACCCGAACACCCGCACCAAGGTTGGTTTGTTTCGTAAAGCCACACGGTACTTAAGGATGTGGAAAGAGCCCATATTTGAAAAATAAGCTGGAGGATCCTTTCCCTGAGAAATGTTGGTTCAGAGGCTCTGTACCACGCCCAAATCCCACCCCTTCTGTACCATACTGCACAAACCTGCAGCTTCAGCAGGAGTTTCATAGTCTTAAATAGAAGCTTTAAAGCTTATAGATACACACAAAGACATACAGAAATGAGATAAATATCAGGCTTTTAATCCTTCTTTTCATGATAATGAAGACCTTAGGGCAAGAAAAGATCTGTAAAAAAAACCAGAAAAGAAATACATTTAAACTCCCAATACAAAACCAGGCAGCTACCCATAGTGCCTTGCCATACCCAGAGAGGATGGGAAATGAGTTCAGCTATTATGTGGGTAATTGGACTTAATAATAATCTACTGCTCCCACAGTTCCTTCCATCCAAAATAACCCATCCCAATAATTCAACCTGCTGGATGTCTATTGGTATCCACTTGTATGTAAGGTCAGCTCCCTGCTACAAAGAACCCTGGGGAGTTTCAGGAGCTTTGTGTTGATGGGAACTACATTCCAAAGACCCCTGCATCCAGGCTTTCTTGGGAAAACATGGTCTTAGGTCTTAGCTCTGAGTTTCTTTCATTATCTCAGTTTTGGGACAGTTTAAATCCCGAGGCCTCTGGCCTGCTCTGATTCCCTCTCTGCTGGCAGCTGGTCTCTTAGGGACAGGTTTCTCAGGGAGAAGCAAGGCATTTTGTGCAAAGCAGAAACTCAGTGATTTTTGATAGAAGTTTCCTGGGGTAGATTGTTCAGCCAGTGCAGCAAAGAACTCCGAGGTTTGTGGCCAGGACAGTGTGATGCTGAGGGCGCAGTGTCCCCTTCTGGCAGCAGCCACAAAATGAATTATGTCCATGCAGAAGGCCTGGGCAGACAAGCAAGGCACCAGGAGGGAAGTGTTCTGCAAAAGGACATCCAGGTGAACAGTGCTGAAACCAACCTGACAGGTTCTGCTGCCCAAGGGAATTCATTCTCCATCCGTCTTTGATACCTTGTCTTGCCTACGTTCAGGCAGAACACGGCAGTATCTGAGCTCCGGGAGCGAAATAATAAATGGCTCCTGGGAGTCGACTTCTAGGGGAGGAAATACAAATGACAGAACAGTTGGCATCATCCTATTCAAAGCTTTGGCCTGTGGCTCACCCAGAGAGGTTGGCACATCCCTCCAGTGAAGAACTGTTAACATCATCAGAGAAAGCCCCAGCAGTGGAGTCAGAACTGTAGCTGTTACACTGAGCAGCATTTCTGTAGCCATGTGTGGTTTGGGGCAAGAGCCACCACCATCTGAGTTAGAAGAAGACGCAGTTGGCTCAGACACATTGGCCATCCCCATCCCTACGCTTAAGCACTCACTCTTTTTTCCGGCTCACATTGCCTGCAAGGTCCAGCTTATCTTCCCTCCTGTATCTGAATACAGCCACCAAGCACCACTTCCATCTACACTGTTTCTCAGACTCCTCCCTGCTCCACCCTGAACATGTTTTTGTTTCCAAAAACCTGTCAGTCCCATGTGTTTAGCTGTGTCACCAGTTACCTTCATGGCAGTTCAAGGCTTCTCTCAGTGCTCTACAGGCAGCTCTCTTTGCCTCCAGGACACTTCCAGGCTGGCCTGGGCTGTAGATCGCTGTCTCCACGGGCAGTTGCAGGGCCCCATCCAGCACACAGTGCATTCTCCTCAGTGCTCTCACTGCCTGGTCCAGCTGCTCCTGGCGATCTGGACGGATCATCACAAGCACCAGCACATCCGGCAGGCAAGGGAGGAGGTTCCTCACATCCCGGATGGCCTCATCCAAGTGATCCCACTGCATGAGCCTCTTCAACACACTGGCTTGCCACAGCATAAAGATCAGATGTGGCGGCATCACATCCTCCTCTTCCTTTCCCTCACTCCCTGTCTGCTGTGGCTTATGTTTGATGTCACCTGTGCCACACAGGTCCCGGGTAAAGTCCACCAGCAATGAGGGGGCTCTTGATTCGGCATCGTCCACCTCCATCACTCCCACCCGTCCATTCCGCCTTCCCAGCATGTCCAGCAGGTTGAGGAGCTCCCAGGTGGTCCGGTCCACAAAGGAGGCAGGCTCCTTTGATGCCATAGCTTCCTCCCACACGTCAGTTTGCTGTGCTGCTGGGGAAAGGAGTGGAAGGGGGTTGCTGTAGCAAAGGCAGTTGCACAGCACAGTCCTCAAAACAGGCAGCACCTGCTGCTCTGAGCAGCAAACGCTGGGTTTGGTGGGACCAAATGAACATGAAAGGAAACAGCAGTTTTGACACAAAGATTAAAAAATTGCAGCCTTGTGCTGTTTGATGTTGGACCTCCCAGAAACAGGCTTTGTACCTCAGCAATCTGGTACAGTAGAAAAAGATGATAGGAGAGAGAAAAGGGATCATTATGTATTTTTAGGCATCAAACTCAAGAGGACTTTTTACCTTCTCATCAGCAAAATCCAGCTGCATGGTAGTGACTATAAGCCTACCAACCTGTTGTTACAGTCAAATTTTGCTCACTGTTTCCTCCTCCTTCCCCTCTCATGGCTAAATCTGGAAATTCCACCCATCTTTCTTTGAATTCTATGTGTACAACCCACTGGTAGCTGTGGAAGACCAAAGCCCTACTTGACTTGGCCCAACATCCCCTAAGCTGCAGTTTCTCCGTGTTAAAAAAAAGCAGCTTTCCAAAGCAATGGCCTTCCTGCTGCCAGGGACAGCAGTGGCAGCAGGATTACATCTTGAAGCAAGTCCAGCAAAATCACTTCTATACCACAGCTGAGCAGACAGGTCCAGTTTTCTAATTCCCATTCAAAAGAAAGTTTGATTTACCCAACAATGTACTCTGCACATACAACTACTCCACCTCCTTCAGAAGGAAGAGGATTAGCTGTGAAATACCAGCCCACTGCAGGAGACAAGCAAAGCCAACAGCTCAAAGGGCTTTCTGACACATACTGGCAGCAGGGCCAGGCAGGGAGAAGGAAGTTCCCATCCCCTGGGAAGGAGGGACTGCACTGGAGCAGGCCCAGGGAGGGATGAGCCAAGGACTCACCTGCCTGCCTGACTAGGGATGCATTGAAAATGATGGAACTACACAGAATGTGTAGAACTGCCCACTCAGGGTATCCACAGGTCATTTTGGGACTATGACATCAGCAGCAACCATGACAACCTGCAGTTGTCTCATAACTCCCTTGCGTTTTGGGGGGGATGTACTAAGATACTCTGAGCCTTGCACTTCAAGACTTAAAACTCATTTTTCACCACCCTTCTTGTTCAACAAACCTTAGACAGCTGTGAAAGTGATGTGATGATCCTCGCCCCACATGAGACAGTGGGATAAGCCCAGGAATCCAGCCAGTGTTACCACTCAGGCACTACAGAGCTGTGATGAAAACAGGTTTAAATAAATTCCACAGAGCAGACACTACAGGCACGGGTGCTGTCCAGGTACACTCGAACTCATTATTCAGGATTCTACTGGAACTACTATCTTCAGATGTGAGAGAGAACTTGCACCTGCTAGGACTTAGTGTCCCACCACTGTGACATCCCACTCTTAAGGGTAGGATGTCACAATTACACAGTTTTGTCTCATCAACAGTTCAGCACCACGTGGAGGAAGTTCCCCTCTACCAGGTCAGCAAGGAAACACTTCTAGTGTTCTATACAACAGTTGTGTGCAGTTTGTGAGGTTGCAAACATTTATTGTTTAGCCCTGCAATGAGCTAAACCTGTGTGATGTTGATTCCATGACAGGAAGCACAGAGGTGGCAGTTATTTATCTTCAGAGTGCAGCCTGCTCTACAAACACCTGTCCAGGAATGTGTCCAATCCCTGTTCCACTGTGCAGCTTTGTGTCCCAACAGCATCTCTGTGCTGTCAACTCTGATACACTACTGAGAAGGAAGTCCCTCAAAATTGGTGGAGGGGATAAAAGACAGAAATGTACAAAAGTTAAACAGATTCTCCATTTTATTTTCAATAAAAATTTAGATCCTAGATGGATACAGCATCTGTAAAACAGAAAACCAGATAGAATCATGTTAGATATCTTGTTTTTAAACACAAGTTTTGCAGTTACAATCTAGACCATCAATCTCTTCAACTGCTATAAAAGCAATCCCCCAGTTTACAGAGAAGAGGTGTGACAATGGAAAAGCCCAACAGCTGGTTCAGTGCCTTGCAGTAGCACTTTGCCAGCCCTCCTGCACACTGACAGCAACAGTTCCCACGGCTCTAGATTCAGGATTTAACTGTGCTGCTCCTACTGTGCTTTTTCTAAGGCACAGGAAAGAGGCAGAAAGGAAGGGGTTGCACCCCTCTGATACTCCTTTTGACATCATCAGTATGAAAATACTGCATCACAGCTCTGGGTGAGTACTGTACCAAAAGGTACAGTCTCACTGAAGCCCTGTGGCTAAGACACTGACTGTGGAACAGGTACCAGCGGACCCATTAAGACAGCACTCCCCTCAGTTACAACATTTAGGAGGTAGTAGAAAAATTAACAGGTAGGAACTGGAGTAGAAGAGTGCAAAAATACATGGAAAAGATCCAGGAAAAAGAAATCAAGGTCGCTTTAGAAGGGACCTGAGTCCTGGAACTTGAAGAACCTTTCCAGACAACTGGAGCAAGCACACAGCCCCTGGCAATGAGGCAAATCCCCTGAGCCCAAGAAGCCAGGAATAACCTCTCCTGGCTCCAAAAGGAACACAATCACTGAGCCACGTTGAACACGACACCAACAGAACAAAACCACAGTTCAAGTGTTCTCTCCCCCTATGTGGAATAAAAAGGCACCTCGAAAACTGCCAATAAATATCTTGTTGCCAAAATAAATCCACTTACCACCCGAATTCTGTGTCCAATGGCCTTGGCAGGAAGGTTGGAGCGGAACTTGGCACGGACCATGCCACTGTTCCCATGGGCCCGTGTCACCTTCCCCCAGATCACCCGTGTCCTGTTGGGCTTCCCCCCGGGAGTTACGGTGTTGCTGGGGAAGAGAGGAAAGGAACAGCTGAGCACAGCAGTCACAGCTCTGCTGTCACCATCAGCGACAGTGTGGCCTCTTCAAGGCACCTCAGTGACTTTAATCCACAGCCTTCTTTAACCAGACCAACTTCCACTTTCATTTACCTGCAAAATTTGCCAGGCCTGGAATTTTCACTGTACCTTTCAAACAGGTAGGTATTACAGCTTGTAATTTGCCAGAAGCTCCACTGGAGAAGTCTTAACAAGTTACCAGGCTCAAAAATTTGGAAAACTCTACTGCTAACGTGTTCATACTGAAAAATTTCAACTCCAAAGAAAATACAACACCTTATTTATAAGATTTCTCCACGCACAACAAAGGCAAGAGAAGAATAAGCCACTAGAATAGATGACATAAAGTGCTTCAGATGAACAGCCAAGTACCATACATTAGAAATGATGGTGGTCAAGTTAACAATCTAATCAATTTTATTCAAGGCAATTCTGAATACTAACAACTACATTCAATAAAATAAAAAACAAAAGGAAGTGAAAGGTAATAAGATGCTGTTCTCATGGCATCTATCTTCCAGTGGCAGCAGAGCAGAAGTGACAGAGAGTGCTCTGACATGGCCACACAAAAGGCAGGATACAAATTACTCCAGGCTTCACAAAATCATTCTATTGTTTAAGTAACTCAACAGCTCATAGTGCTCAACTCCACACAAATGCACCTCATCTCAATTTACTCTATCAACCCACCTTCAGTTTTTGCCACTCTCAGGCAAAACTTGCTTCTCATCCCATTTGCTCTCTTAACACACCATTTATGAAGTGAATGATTATTTCACATAATATAATTCTCTAAATTAAAACATATCATCCAACTAAAGCAAAAATAACCAAGAACTTTTAAAACAAAACTAAGCCAGGAAACTGGCCCACAAAGCACTCCACGGACACTCTATTGATAAATCCAGCACAATTAATTTTTGTTTTAACAACAGCTCTGTGAACAGCCTGCTCACATCCTGGCAAGTGCAAAAGCTGACACAAGAGTTGGCTAATTCAACATAAGAATAAAAAGTGACTTACTTTTTAGCTTTGTACACATAGGCACACCTCTTGCCCAGGTAGAAGTCTGTCTCTTGGCGGGCATAAACACCTTCAATCTTCAGAAGAGCCGTGTGCTCCCGCTGGTTTCGGAGGCCACGTTTGTAGCCAGCAAAAATGGCCTTGCACCACAGCCTGGAGACATGAAGAATGTTTGCAAGTTACAATTTATTCCAAGGTAACAGAAGTAAAAACAAATCACGTGCTATTTCAGCACAAACTGGTAGAAATTCAGCAGAGGAAAAACCCCACCTTTACAAATCACTGCAAATCCTTACGTCCAGCGAACAGAGGAAACCCAAATACCCAGTCATGAAGTATTTATGAGAACTGTGCAGCGGACACCACACTACAAGCTTTACACTAAAGCTGAAGTGTTTCAGCATTAGCAAGTGATGTTTCCAAATGTCTACTGATACTATGAATAAACACAGCTTTTTGTCTACACACCACAAAAACAGCCTCCTGTCTTGCAGTAACTTCTACAAAAAGTATGAACTGCTCCTAATTTGTAGCCTCAAAGGAATTAGTTGCAGCCTCTGGAGGCAGCCAGAGACACAACTCCACATCCACTGGACACAAACATTACACAAACTCCACAGCAACTTTTGAGGACAAAGTCCTGTCTGCACTACCCAGGTAAAGCCGTTATAAGGCTGCTCTATACACCGTGCACACAGCACATCTGTCCCAACTGCATCCACCACCTGTCCCGGGATACAGCAGGATCAAGCTGAGATATCCAGTTCTCCCTGCCACACATGTATAATAGGAGATGAACACCACGAATAAACGTCAAGACAAAGCTGTGATTCACAGAATCATCGAATGGTTTGGGCTGGAAGGGACATTAGAGACCACCTAGTTCCAACCCCCTTGCCATGAGCAGGGACACCTTCCACTAGACCAGGTTGCTTAGAACCCCATCCAACCTGGCCTTGAACACTTCCAGGGAGGTGTCCAAAACCCCTCTGGACAACAGAGTACTCAGTCAATCCCCCCCATTTACAAACTCAGTCCCTACATCAACAAAAAATCTCGATGGCATAGTAGCTCCCTTACTCAAGGGAGCAGGATGTCCAAGCCTCTCCTGCACACTAGAGGTCCACAAACACTGTACTAACAAAACCACCATCGATATCCTGCATTTAGTGACAGGCCAAGGAAAGCGTGGCACAGCCTTACAACAGCTGTAACAGCCCGTGACAGCAGCCTCAGAATAGGGACATACATCTGAGGGCCAAGCAGAACACTGGGCAGGAGTCATCCTGAAAACTAGAGCAGCCACAGGAACACGCTCGCTGTTTAACCACTCCCAGAAATGCCCAGGTGAACAGCGCTGCAGCAGCGAGCCGATCCCCCCCGGGCAGTCACTCACCTCCCGGTCATGGCGTCCTCCCGCAGACCCGGTCCCGGCAGGCCTGGAAACGACACACAGCGATGAGTGGACACCTGGGGGCCACCCTGAGCCCCGTGACCCTCCGCTCCCCCACAGCACGGCCGCCCCGGGCGCCTTCGGCCCAGGGCCCCGACCCGAGGCGGGCACCATCCGCCGCGCATCGGCGCCATCCCGCGCTCTCCCCGGCCCGCACCGCGCCATCTGGAGAGCCCCGGGAGCCCCGCACCCACCGCCGAGCCCCACAGGGGGGGACGACCCCGCCAGGCCCCGCTGCCCGGTCCGAGCCCCGCTGGCCCCGCTCCGCCTCACCCCGAGCGCCCCAAGATGGCGGCCAGAGAGACCCGCCCCGCGCGGCCCGCCGGGAAGAGCGCCGCGAGGACCCGCCAAGGGCCGCCCGGACGCCGCCTGAGCGGGCGGCACCGAGACGGTGGTGGTGATGGCGGTGGTGGTGATGGCGGTGGTGGTGGAGGGGGTACAGCGGCCCCCGCGCCGCCCTTGCCGCGCCCCTCGCCCCGTCCCCGCGTCCCTCAGGGGCGATGCCAGGCGGGAGAGACCGGGAAGGGCGGCCCTAGACCCGCCGCGCAGGCGCCCGCCGGGGCAGCCCCGCGAGGCCCCCGAGCGTGGTGGTTGCCATGGAGACGGGCGGCGCGTCCCGGTGAGGAGGAGAGGGAGGAGCGGCACCGGGATCGCGGGGTGGGAGCGGGGAAAGGGGGAAATCCGGGCGGGAAGTTGAGGGGAGGCCCGGCCGGGCTGGGCAGAGCGAGCGAGAACCGGCTGTGGCGGTGGAACGAGCCGAAGAGCCCGAGAAGGAGAAGGGCAGCGGTTGGTGTTCGGGGTGGGCTCCGGGCCCTGCCCGTCTTCCTCTGTTCTCACCTTGAATTAGTGAATCATCTCGTATTTATTTTACTTCCGATATCGCCTCAGTGACAGAAAACACGTTTCTACACTGAAATCCCTGTAATGAAGTCTTACATCCCTGTGTTTTCTAGATAAGAACAGCTGGCAGCACGTAGTCACCATTTCCTCACATCAGAGTCATTCACTCCCGATTCCTCTCACTTCCCTGTGTGACATTGCCACACATTCAGGTGCATTTTCAGACCGCTTTAGGTGATTTAGGAACTTCCTCCAATAGGAGATGTGCCCTGGCTGGCCGGGCTTTCACTGTCACTTTGTTCCCCAGTGCTTTGGAATGTGTGCTCAGAGTGCTTTTATGAAAACATGGATCTCGAGCAAAATCTACTGACATCTTGTCACCAGCTGGGCTTAGAGAGCTTGAACCTGAGGGATTAATTAACCTGAGGAGTTGGAGTGAGGAATTAAATCCCCATCCAGGAGGAGAGTTAAATCTATCTGTACTTTGCTGTGCAAGCGTAGAAGCTCTCGATGCCTTGTAAACATGTAGATGCAGAGTTTTTTCTTAGAGAGATTAAACTGTTAGAAAGTAGGAGCAGAGAAGTGATGGAATATAATGAATTTTCCAAATTGTCTGTTGACTTCTACTTTAAGGAAGAGGTAGAAAGCAAAGCAACACTCAGTCATCTACGCAGTTAACAGTATAAAATATGAGCATGGAGCCTCTATGCAGAGAAAGGACACAGTCCCTGCTTTGAGGAGAATATAGTGGCTGTGAAAACACTGTTTTCCAGCAGTAGAGATGCCACAGCCAGTAAATGCTCCCTAAATCTTATATTTTCCTGTCCCATATAGTTTTAGTCCCATTTGGGACATACGGCTGAAAGTAACACCACATCTTTCATTCCTGGGCTCTCCTGGGTTCTCACTGGTACAGCCTCAGAGCACAGCAGCTCTGAGGGAGTCTTTCTCCACAGTCAGGATGAAACCTAAATTGCACCGCTAAGCCAAAACCAAGATTACTTCAGCTTTTCAAGGTTTCCCTTTCCCCTTCCCCTTCCTTTCCCTTTGCCTTATTTTTTTTTTCAAATGAGCACCTTCCATTCTAACATTTGTAGCCAGAGGCAGAGTTTTTTAAGGCCATTTTTTGTAAAAATGAAGCTATTTGTGATTTCTGGTGCAGTTGCTGCTGTGGTGGATGTTCAGCACCTCTCCATGCCAATCACTTGCCAAAGAGAGCAAAAGGAGATGTGACATCCTCAGCTATGCATTTTCTCACTGGAATTCACCAGAATCTCTTTAGCTGACTCAAAGGGATGCTGCACAAAATGCTGCCTTTGAAGCCATTTTCATGTATCGGGCAGCAGGGTGGGAGAAATGAACATCCAGGGCTCTCACACAGCAGGGGGAGTTGCAATCCCCAAAGGAACAGGGGGCCAAGCCTTTTTATACAGTTGTTTTAAAAATTATTTCTTGATTTGTTTTCCTTTCCCTTTATATCAGCAGGGAAAGAATGTCAACCAAAACTCCTGGGGGAAGCTGAATCCTTCACATACTTTTTTTTTTAATTATTATTAATAGCGTTTAATGAGGGAGTTCAGCAAACACAGCAATGAAGGGCAGTGCCAGTGGCTGCATCGGGAGGGTCTGTGGGCACTGCATTGACACTGAAATCCAGAGCAAGCAGCTCCTGTTTGTAGTGTTTCCTAATGCCCCAGACAGTGGTTTCCTTCTCACTTCCAAGTCAGTATAAGCCCAGAGCCTACTGGCTTGGCATGTGGATCTCCTGAGTGAGGAGATGTACAGGAGGAGCAAAGGCTTTAGAGAAACGTTCCAGCAACACTGATATCCTGAGTTAATTCTCTCTTGGGCAGAAGCTGCTGATGAGAAAGAGGAAAAGCTGTTGCATCCTCCTTTGTTTCCAAATAAGTCACTTTTTCCTATGAGAGCTGCATTTTTTTTCTTTCAAAAATGCTGCCATAATCATCTGTCACGGCTATCTCCCAACACATCTTTTTTCATCATATTTTTAGCATTAGGACTGCACACGTAATAGATTATTCTCATGTTGTTTAGACTCAAAACATGGATCTTAGATTTCTGAAAAAGACAAAAATGAGTAAAACATTTAAAAATATTTTATTAGTGCCTGCGGACTGGAAAAAGACACTGTCTGACTTTCTTGATGTAAAAATACTTAATTTCTGCATCTCCACTTCTATCATTGATTCCAAGGTTGAAAAGAAAGGAAAAGTGATGGGTTTAGTTTATTATACAGATTATTTGCTATTTATTTGTTAATGCTATTATCGGATTCCTATCTCAAGATGTTACTTTTCTTTTTCTTAAATTAAGATAAAGGAGAGGAAGAAAATCTCAGAAGCAAAGGGATGAAATCAGTTCCATCTTTGTGATCAAAAGCCCTGCACAGTGGGATTATATTAGGTAAGTGGGTATAAATAATACAAGGAGGACACTGAACACAATGTTCAGAATCACTGCTTGGCTGTTATCTTTTCCTGCCATGATTTAAGCAGCTTCTCGAAATAAATCAGGGTGCCCCTACCATTACTTTGTCTGAAAGGCTGTTCCATATCTTCATCCATCCAGAAGTTAGAAACCTTATCATAATTGCTTGGCTTAGGGGAAATTACACTCCTTTGACCCTGGGCCAGTATAATCCTTTAACTTAAATACCTCTGTGTCTCCCTGGTATCTGCTCTTCCTATGTATTTACAGAGAGCAATCCCAGTCAGTGCCCCTGGCACACTTTCCAGCTGTAATCTTTTCCACAAGGAGAGCTGTGTCCTGTTACAAAGGACAGCACATTTCAACACATGTTGCATTAAACAACTTACTGCAACAGAGGGACACCAGGAAACAAATATGTAAAATCGAAGTTATTTTTGTTTCACCTATTCTGTACTAACAGACATCAAATAAACCTGAACTGAGAAATGGCCCTTTTTTCCTGAACACATGACATTAACTTCATGTTCCAACTGGAAATTAATATATTTTCTTCAACAAAAACAACAAAAAAGTATCAGGACAAATGATAACAGCTTCAGAGAGGTTATAGCAAATATGCATTTTTTTAAACACTTGCTTATGAAATATCACTGACTTCCAGTGATCCAGAGCACAACTGCATCCAAACCTCTAATTTCCATAGAATTGTGGCCATGTCTTATGCTAACAGGCACTGTCTGATGTATTTCCTTGGCACACTTACAGATTGGACTGTAATATTCTGCAGGCCTAGAATATGTTTATTCAAGGGTTTTACAGATGGCACAAACCCACTTGTAGGTACAGCAGCCAAATGAAGGTTTTGTTAGTGGATGTTGATGCTTCCAATTGCAATGCCACTCAGGATCTCAGCCATCACAGACTCCAGTTGTGCTGCATGTTATACAATAAATACCTGGTTTGTACGTGCAGGCTTTGGAGGTATTGTCCAATGGCTTATTAAAACATTGTAATTCTCAGATAATTTCTCCATTATTGTGCATGTGTTTTCTTAGGTATTTTTTAATAGCAAATTTCCACCTTTCCCTCAATGTGCTTTCACAATATTCCATCTGTAAGCAAGGCAAAGGGGTGCTTAAGTGTATGTCAGAGTAGTTTCATGTTTGAAGAGCAATTTAAAGTGAAATAACATAGAATGTTAAAGATAGTTTATTTAGTCCAAGAATTGGTTCTTGTTTGACTTTCAGCATCTTAAGGTGGTAACACTTCCTGCTGAGGGGACTGGGATCATAGAATTGTGAAGGCTACACAGTAAATAACGAGGAATGATTAAGCCATGAAGGTTCACTGTCTGTGATTTTATAAGACGTCAGTTAATTTTTTCCTTTCAAAAAAGGCACCTTCATTCTGTTGTTTCCCAAAGTCCACTATGAAACACTGCTCCCTCTTGAAGTGAAGGATGAGGCACCCCACTCACTTTGTGCCCCCCATATCCATTCCCTCCCCAGCCTGTCCACCCAGATCTGCCGTAGGAGGGACCAGGACCTCTTTGTTTTGTGAAAGCTAAACATTCCCACTGTCCCTGAATGCAGCCATTAGCAGAGCACAGCTCCTCTTATAAACAGTGTATGCAAGGCTATAAACAAAGCCAGGGAAGTATATGTAAGGCTGCAAATAAAGCTATTTCGTGTCTACCTTCAGTTTAAACTACTGTTACCAACATTACTAACACCATAGTGTTTTTCTGATTGGTATCTTTTATCTTTGTTCCTCCTGGCAAGGACACAGAGACTAAACAAATGGAAAAAGTCACTCATCTGGAAGCTCTGCTGTTTGCTGCTGTGCTGGAGAACTGTGTTGATCAGCTTGAAATTCTTGGGTATATCATGCCAATTTCAGACGAGGACAAGACAGACCTCAGCCATGTATGTGCCTATATCCACACTGCTTAAAAAAATATATATCTTCTTTTTTTTTTTTCTTGTCTTTTACCAGCATTTTTTAAAAATCAGTTCAAGTATTTTTTCTGTGAATGCTCCATGACCCCTGGGTGTAGAAACACAATAAAAGTGCAGAGATGACCAATTTTAATGCTTGTACCGCAGCACCACTGAGAAGCCTTTGTCAAGACTTTGCAGAGGACCCTACTGACCTGTAGTGGATTTCCTGGGCTAATAATTTTAAAATCTTGGTGGTTAGATGACTAGCAAAGGATTAGGGAAAAGGAAGCAAAACATATGTAGGTTCTTATGGAGATGAACAGCTATTTTAAAAGTAGAAATGAATAGGAGGTTTGAAAGTACTCAAACCCAGGGTAATTCTGTTCTTCTCTAAGTCCATGATAAAGTTCCTTTTGTTCCCACAGACAATGCATTAAGAAAGATGCACTTCAAAATATATTAGTAACTACCCTTTCTCAGTGATCACTAATTATTAGTTGATTTCTAATAGGTATTGCAACTAAGAGGGTTTGGGCAGAGATATGAAGAGAGAAGGTCTAATGCTCAGGCAGAGATTTGTTGCTGTGGGGGAAGGTGTTGTGATGTTTCTGGTGGCTGTTAGACATAGGAAATAGGATGGGACCATCCTGAGGGGTAACTGGTTCTAAGTTCTGCAGTCATATATTTTAAGTGATATAGCAGGCTGTTTCCAGTTTTAGCAGGTTTGAAACTTTTTTAAGATGAACTCAAGAAAAAAGTGTGAGACCAGGATGGAAATAAAAACTGGGATCTGAGTTTTCACATCTAACGATGTTCACTCTGTCTAATGTACCAGTTAAGGATGCCAGAGGAACGCAAATAAACATGTTTTTCACGTGTTTCCTTGACATACTACCTTTTCGAAAAACCCACCGCAGAGCAGCAGCAGCCGGAGTTACAGGAATTTCAGGGTGGGAACGATGCTCAGACTGTGCCATAGAGGGCACTCCTCCCCTTAAAGACTCCTATGTTCGCAGAGGATGCTTCTCCCTCTCTGAGCTCTTATGTGCCAGAGAGGGGAAACCTCTTATGTGCCAGCAGCAAAACACAGAAAAAGAGCGTTTCTCTGAGACAGCAGGAGTTTTTCAGACACACAGGTTCAAGCTGATAGACCTACTGAAGGTACACTTAAATTATAGAGAAAATACCTTCACTTTTCAATCACAGATGCTCATTTTTACCAAGTCACTGCTTAGTACACAACTTTATCCCAGATAATAAGCCTTACTTCTGCTCTTAAAGATGCCAAAACAAATCAAGAAGGAAACAATTTAGAAACAAGAAAATGTCTTAGGGAAGCGACTTGCTAACTTTGGTGCTCTGTAATTTGTTATTCCTCCCTGTTTCTCAGTTTCCACTTGCCTGTTTTCATTGTATTTGTAGAAGACCTGTATTTCCAAAGCACCCTGGAGCTCTGTCAGTCAAACAAATCAATGGTATTTTTAAAGATTGACATCTAAATGTCAGCTGATGACATTTCTGAGAGGATTAATCACAGTGTTGGCCAGCACCTCACTGATTTTACTAAATTAGATGCTCTTGTACACTGCTTCACACAGTGCATCCCCCAGAGGGAGGCAGCCTTTCTATTTGCTGAATTTTGGGCAACCGACAAAATTCTGTTAGGAGATGGTAACACAGGCAGTTTACAAACTTCTTGCTCTTACATAGTTATTTGGTCACGTTTAAGTCCCTACTGTTTACAGACAATCCAGTTATTGCCTGTCTTGAATTTTCCCAAACATTAAAAAGCATCTGTCAGAATACTCATAAAATCTACATGATATTAAAGCAGTTTGTTTGCCAAAATTAGTTCTTTCTGAAGTACAGCCATCACCAGCCAGCTATTTAACCTTTTTTTACTAATTAGCTACATAATTTTCATCGGTCTGGGTATATTTTGCATGTGATTCATTTAATGTAAATTTAACTGTCCAAAAATTAAGCATGTAGTCACTTAGCCTCCTTCTGTAGTCAGTGAGGGGTCAGGCGCTGACAGAGGCTGATCTATCCCATCCAGAGTTGTCCAAGACATTGATAAGGAAGCAGCCCTTTGCAGTACCCTCACAGACCACTAATGGAGCCTCACTTGACAAGTAACTTTTTGGAAGTACTCCTGGCATCCACAGCTGCTGCCCGACCACTTGTTTTTACTCTGCCCTCTCTGCACTCTATTGGCACAAATGTGTGTGTGTGGTTGTTGAAGAATCTGGACTGAGAACTGGTGCTGCCAAAAATAACCTTTTTTTTTTCCCTCCTTTTTGCTGGAAAATGTTTCATCACAGTGAGCTCTTTATCCATTTCCCCATGCATCCAGGGTGGGGAGCAGGCAGCTGTGGACTGGGATGGGGTTGGCAGTGACTGTGTTAGCTGGTGTCGGCACTGCTGCCAGGAAGTATTCAGCCACAGGGATGCGGTAGGCAGGCAAGAAAAATTTCTCTTTTAGTGTCCCAGAGTACACACCTGCATTCTCACCCATAGCACATAAAGCAGAGAAATTCCTGGAAGCAAAAGCTTAGCCGATTTTATAATTTTTCATTTTCCTTTTTCTGGGCCTTTGCCTTTTATTAATAAAATTGTACACGTCCACAAGATAACTTTCCATGCAGAAAGAGCTGCCAATATTTTGAATTTCATTTTTGAATTCATGCTACACTTCCTCTGCTATCACTCTCTCAAAAAACCTGCTAAGCAGATAGCTGATGTCTGTCACTTTTATTTCCACATGGCTCTAGTTATAACACTAATACTGTAGGCAAAGGTCGTGGTGACAGGCAGTGGGAAATGTCTAAGATGGAAAGAAGGCAGAGGGGAAACAGGCTAACGGTCTTCCAGTGCATAAAAGCTGCTGCAAAAAAAGGAGGCAATGATTTGTTCTCTCTGCCTACAGAGACCAGGACAACAAGCCAGGGGCTCAGCTGCTGCTGAGGAGAAAAAACTTTCTTACGGTAAAGATTGTTGAGAGATGCTGGCACTGGCAGGAGGGTGTGTAGTCCATTGCTGGAGGCCATTAAGGACATGTCAGGAATGACATAGTCTGAACCAGCATCTCTTGGAGCGGATGAATTCACCTTTTGAGGCTTCTTCTAGTCCTGTCACTTCAGAGCTTTTGAGCCCATAAACATCAATAAGCTACACTGTGTGCTCAAAGCTAAGCAACATAAATGTTTCTGCTCTTCCACTCTTTGCAGACTCTAACAGGCACTATCAACTGCTCTTAGTAAAGCTTTATTCTAGTTTATTATTAATCTTTCTTCTTCTCACATAATGTTGCAGAGGGTTTATTTCTACTGCTCAGTGTGCAAGCAGGTCTCTTCTTCCCTTTTAGACTGGCATCCAGGAAATGAAAGAAATCACAGAGACCCAGAAGGAGCTGGACATTAATGACCCAGAGCTTATGTCAGCAAGGCAAGAGAGTGAGGAAACAGTTACCTCCATGGCCCTGAAAAACACTGAACCCAAGCAGCAGATGGGGCAAACTGAAGATGGGAAAAGCACCCATCAGCCTTCCAAAAGGGACAGGAAACACAGCGCTGTGACTGCAGAGAAGCTCAGAAAAATTGAAGCTGACAGGTGAGTGAAGCACCTGTGGAGGATGCTCAGGTGTTAAGTTCTCAGTCTATCTCTTGAAAGCAAAAATACATGCACCCCACTCTCCCACTGTCAGAGTGCTTCAGTCTTGGTCCAGAAGTTCCTCTATGGATAACAGTGGGATCGAGGTTCATAGGCCATTCGGTTCTGGCCATTGCTTGTCTCTGGATGCCCCATAATGACCAGCAGTTTATTCTGAATGGAACTGCAAAACATTACCCAGTTGATAATGGTTGCTTGGGTGGAATTCATGCCAGACACTAATCAGTGCTGATGTTCTGGTACCTGGAGTCAGGTTCCCTTAGCAGATCCCACAGGCAAAGTGGGATCTGAGCTTTCTCCTGAACTCATTCTGCAGGGCACACAGAGTTTCTGTGGCAGTTAGAGCCATTCTCCTTTATAGAACAGATAAGACTAAATATTTTCTTTCTTTTTTAAAACAAACTTTATTCCTGCACCTAATCCAGTGTCTTGATTTACAGAAATACCAGCAGCCTTTGGTTTAAAAGACAGATGGGGGAGCTGCCAAAATATAAATGCCATATGCACCATAACCTTCAATAAACTGGACAAGCCCATGTTATTTGTTAAGATCAGTTTAGGGCTGTACTGGAATATTTTGGCATCCAGATATCCCCCCACAGACACACTTACTTGCATCCCCAGGTCTCATTTTCCAGGATCCACCTATCTGTCACCACAACTGCAGGCCAGCAGCCTCCTTCCTTATGGCAGCACAGCCAGCATTTTTAAATGATAAACTTCAACCAACTCCTAATATAGAGTTTTTCAGATGTACAAGGAGCAGATACCATGAGAGAAGCACTCCTGGGTTTGGTAGGATGTAAGAACAGAAAAGGGATCTTTTATTTCCTCACCTTTATCTATAAACAGTAATGGATAAAGGTGCCAGACACTGTAGTACCAACACCTGTAAAGTACTGTTGTGTTCCTTTTGTTCCTGGCAGGCAGTATGCAAGTGATGTAATTGCTGTCACTATGAAAAAGATGCAGGAATCGGGAATATTTAATAGCCTAACAGAAGCTAATGAGAGAGAGAAGGAAGAAAAGAGCAAGTTTTATGACGTCCTCATCAGGTCAGTGTTGTGTTCAGTTCTTCTCTGCTTAACTGCTGAAAGCCAAACCCATTCCCACTCGGTACATGCTGAAAAGGAAGAAGACCCAAGAAAACCAAAATACAGAAGAGATTCTACTTTTTCAACTTGAATTGTTCTGCTTGCTTTACAAACTGCAATTCTTTTCCCTTCAGAAACAATTAGTGAATGGTTCTGATACTGATCTGAGCTAGGAATTGCCTGAGCTTTAACCACAGTGGACACATCAGTGTCTGCATTAATGCAAATGCTGTCTCATTTCAATTAAAACATAATGTGATGTAGGAGCTCCCTGGTCTTTAACTCCTGTCCCCAGTGAAAGCCAGAGCAGCAGAGAATCTGTTCAAACCAGGGCCAGCAACATATGGCCTTTAGGTTGTCTGATGCCCAGGAGAATCCGCTCTGACCCATGTGCTAATTGGCTCCCCTTTCCCAGCAGCAGTGAGGGTTCAGCACAGATGGTGACAGAGGAATTGTCTTATTTAAGGCTAATCCACCAGCCACTGCACTGTAGATCCTCTTCTGTCCCAAATCTTTCATGGTACAGGTTTGTTATCACCTCAGCACTGGTGGTTCCTTACCTCAAATTTCTTGGAGTTTTTTTAGCATGCAAAACTCTGGTTCAACCCCAAGACTGTCAGAGAGAATCACAGTCATCAGACAAGCATTTGACCACTTTACAGCTACTTTGCTCTGTGTAGCAGCTCAGGCCCATCATTTAGGATGCACAGCAAAGCTGCTTTAAGTCATGATTTGTCATGAGTCCAACCTACTGGAATGGGCTCCTTCGGTGGCTCAGGGGTCTGCCTCCAGGGCAAATCCCCAGCTTCCAGTGGAATGTGTGATTTCAAGCACGAAACCCAACTCTTCCACTGTCTAAAACCAAAGGATTTATTGTTTATCCATGGAAGGGACAAAAAGCAAAAATGAGAGTAGCAATTGGTTGTGGAATAACTATCCACTACTGGAGGGCAGAAAGGAGCAGACAGATTATAATGAGAAAGTACATAATGCTTTTTATTCCATTCTGTCAATCATGTCTAGCCACTCTGTTCTTCTGTACATTCTTTTCATGGAATGAACTTGATCTGTCTTACAAGATAATAAATACTTGCCTGGTTTTGTGTGAATACACTGTGAAAGGTGTCTTCAGTGACACTGGGACTCCTTATCAGGAGCTTTTGTTCATCACAGTCAAACTAGCTAAGGACTCTGAAAATTAAATGCATGTGTGATTGTAAGGTTGGGATAGGATACAAAGTCTCAGGTGCCAACTGTAGTATTTACTGGTTTTAAATCAAATCATGAGCATAAAAGCTTAGATAAGTGCTCTGACCGAAATAAGATAATACCACCTAAAACATTACTGCATCTGCTTTGTTTTAGACAGATGGACCTCTCTAGCTTTTGGCCTTCACTTAGATCCCTTCACGGATCTCAGAACCTAAGACAGTGTTTTTTGGAAGATTTTAAGTCTAATATGAAAAAAACATTCTCCATATATAATGACACACAAGCTGGCACTCTGCTGCTCAGACACACTTCTGCACAGAATCAGAATCTACTGAATTGTAGAAACTGACTCAATGACAGGCATCTTCCCTTTCTGCTATAGGAATTGCATCATCCTTAAGTCCACTCCAGGCTTTTAACAAGAGCATCCCCTGTTTTTTTGGCTCATTCTCCCTTTCATCCCCATCCGCCTTGCTCCCTTTGTGCACCTCTTCTTTCAGGATTTACTGAACAAGTCAGTAGTTTTGGTGAGAAGTTTCTGTTTATCTTTCCACAATGTATCAGGAGACAGGAAGTTCCCTTTCTAGGTAAACAGCTCTTGTCTTTTTTGATACATTAAAGTGATTGTATTTTCCCACTTTTCTTCAGGGAGGAGGAAGGAAAGAAGGAGATAAAGTCACTCCAGAAACAGCTGCAAGATGTCAAGAGACAAACTGCAAAAGACCTTCAGGTGAGAGCACTTAGCACTGGGCATTGTGCCAGGGGGGAAGCCTGTTAGCAAGCTCGATTCTACTGCCCAGGATCTAGTACTCAGGGAGGACCTGTAGCATCCAGAATGATCCATCATTTAGGAATATAGAAGTAGAATAACTGCAATAAGGATTTGTATTTGGAATTAGCCCACTAATGACTTTGAGAGCAGTGTCCAGAGGTTTTCAAATGGGAGCTCAAAATGCTCATAATCGTCATGATCAAATTGGAATATCCTAAGAACACAGCTGGGAGTGGCAAAGCACAGATATCTGCAATCAGTGAGAAAAAGGTTATCTGCAGATAGCAGTATCTAAGGTTCTCTCATACTCATGCAGATCATCTGGCACAGAAGAAAATGTGACAAAGAAGGAATGAGAGAGACACTTTGTATAGGGGCAGGTCATTTTTCTACCTACATTTTTGTCTGAGAAAAATGCCATTATAGTATTTTTCTAGGCTTCCAGACATTAGAAAATCCCAAACATGCCTACACAAGGGCAGATCAATGTTATTGCACATATGCTGTCAACTTGATCTTTCTGGAAAGCTTCAGCCCTTCTGTCTGCATCACGCAAATAGTGTGTGCACGAGCAGTAAATCTGGGGCATTCTGGAATCGTCAGACTTGCTACACAAGTGCAGATCAATTCAGTGGCTTGTCACTGGTCACTGTAATGCTCACCAGACAGCTCAGACTTGATGCTCATGCAACATGGCCCTGCTAGGGCAGGAGACAGTGTGTGATAGCAAACGAGCAAAAGGGTCAGGGCTGTACAGGGGCTGGAGGAAGGAACAAGAATCTGACACTTTGTTCAGTAGTGAGCAAGAGGACAGCAAGGGCATCTGAGGAAAGAACTGGTATCACTGAATTTTGTCTTTGGACAATAGTGTAGACAGTAATCAAGCTAGGATATAGTTGACTACACAGAGGAATTTTAAGCCACTGACATGCTGGTGAAGTTTGGTTTGTAGAACATGAAGGTTTTGTGTTGGCAGCCTGGATGCATATGCAGTGGAAAGTTTAATTGTAAATACAGGATGGTTGTAAAAAAAAAGATGGATCTTTTTGCTTCTGCACGTTGTCCCTTCTTAGTCAGGCTCTGATGGCTCCTGAGAAGTTTCTGTTCTCCCACTCCCCAAGCTAGTGAATGCGATGAGGGAGTTCTCCTTCTGTGTAGTGCTCCTCAAACCTTACCACGTCTGTGCATACAGTATATGTACCCAGTTCTGGTTTAATGCCTTCCCAAGGTCTGGTATGTGGGGGGCTGTAACCATCCCACCTTGCACCAGCAGCAATGTCCTGGCACTGTGCAGACAAGGGGCACTTCTCTGTGTCCTGACCTGCACCTCTTCTACCCCTTGCAGTCATAAGAACGTGCGTAGCTCCCGTGCCGAGAGGAGGCTCTTCTCCTTGTCCCTTCAGTGCTAATCAGTTCTTGGGTTTTGCCTCATCAAGTGGGATCTGCACTCATCTGGTATTTAATATTTTAATCTTAGAAGTCCTTTTCTGGGCTTCCTTATAGTTTCGGCTTTGATAACAAATCAAAGACAAGACTACTTTCAAGTACTGCTTTCCTCCCGTGCCAAAAATAATGGTGTCTCACTGCGTCTCCCAAGGGAGAGTAATTTCTATTTGCTTCATATGGGATTTTCCCGTAGGCAGTTTTACAGACACTTGCATGATTTGTCACCTTGCCAACAAATTAAAAACAAAAATATAGCTTGCTGATTTTGGAGTACTTTGAACAACAATAATAATGCATAGACCTGTAGACAAAAGCCTACATGGTTGTCTCCAGCCTAGTGGATGAGAAAACAAAAGCAAGCAAATCTAATCTTGGAACCAGAAAAACACGGCCTTTGCTTCACTCATGTTTCCTGTGTATATGTATTCTCATTCTTGCTACTTCTTAATGAGATGCTAATTAATACTTTATTAGCCTGCTCAGCTCATTTTTCTTTCTAATGGAACACAAATCAAATGCTAAATGTTCTTGTTTTCTTTTCTTTCCTCTTGGAAAGCACTGACATCTGTAAAGGAGCTGAAATGATCTGTCTGGTTTTGCTCTTACCCCTCCGTGCAGGAGCAGCACCGGTAGCTCAGGTTTGGCTGCAGGGCTCTGTTTGCTGCTGCAGTGTTCATTTTCTAGGTTGTATAAAAATACTCACTTTCTTGGGTTTCCTGGACAAGTGATGGCAGTCTGTACAGGTTTTGAAACAAATTAATACATAGAATTATACACCTTAACATAAAAATTTAGCATTCCTGCACTGCTCTTCGCCCAAAGACTTTTTATGTCCTGCAGGTTTTGTGTACGCTCGTGCCATACATGTGTGCAAGTGTGGTGTAACAGGCAGTAAATATTGCAGCTACCAACCAGATAGGAATCCAAGCCATCGCACCACGGTACCAGTGAAAACAGGTCCATAACTTCAGTTCTGTGTGGGCTGTCATAACACATCCAGCTCCACTGTATCAGTGCCCCACCTGGTCGTGCTTTTAGTAGTATGACTAAAATCCATCATGTTTCTTCCCTTTTCCTCTCCCAGGAAATGCATCAATGAAGTGTTCTAGGGAATGTATTAAACATATATACACAGCCACTGGTGCATGTTTCTACTGGAGAAATGCACCAGGTGATTACAGTAGAAGGCACAAGGTTTGTGATGGTCCTGAGTTTCTGCATGACTTCATTCCACTGCTGGCAGAGTCCCAGGGAGTGCAGCAGGACCCAGAGCTGGTGCACCAGATCCAAACCTGGCTCCAGAGGGGCACGACTTTCCACAGGAGTGCTGCTGCCAAGAGGTCCTGCTCTCTCTGCAGCTGCCTCTCACCAGCTCTCTCCTACAGTTGCTGGGATTGCACGTGAGCTGGCAGAGGGCTGCAGAAGCTGTTCTGTTGAAGCTGGGTGACCTGCCAGCCCCTCTGTCCTTTGGGCCCTGACATTCCTTGGAGGTGTGCAGCATGGGGATGTTCTGGAGCTGGGACAGAGATGCAGGCTGTGGCCTCACTGAAGTGTCTGTAGGGCCACACGTTGTGGTTTCAGGGGGAGCGGGTCCAGGCTGCAGCAGGTGTGCAGATCTAAGCATATCTCCAGGCTCTGCAAGCTGAGATGCTGCAGCTGCCAGTGAGAGGCTTGAGCTCCGAGGCACTGGGTGTGGGAGCAAGGCAGAGGCAGCAGGGCTCCCCACCGGGGCTGCCGGCACGGAGCACAGCACCCCTTCCCCTGCCAAATGGCAGCACGGGGAGTGCTGCTGGCGGCAGGAGGTTCATCTGACTGCTGGGGAATTCCTCAGACTGTTTACTCCTATTGGCTACTTTTGTAACCAGATGTATTTCAAATGACTGTAAACACTAATTGCTGTGGAAGAGCTGGGAGATCTTCGTGGCACTTACAAGAGAGATAAATCAAAGTAAATGAAAACATAGGAGTGCAGATAACGTCTCCAGCTAAGTGCAGTTGTTTTTGCAGCCAAACAGCATCTGTGGGGCAGACTCCTGTGGCACTGGGTGACAGCAGACAGGCCTCTGAGCTGATGTCTGTGAGCTGAGAGATCAGAGAAAATCAGCTTGTTTACCTGCTTGTGAAGCAGACTGGCTCCTGACAACTATTTCCTGGGTTTTGATCTTGGTCTCTGACAGTTTTCTGAGTTTTGGACACAAGGAATGATTTTGCATCTTTGGTTTGGCAGATTCAACACTGAAGTCATCCCAAATAAGCAGCCCAGAGATTTACTGCATCAGCTATGAAAGCGTTCCGTGTCCTGGCGGGGACCTTTGCTATGATAAACCAGAACGAATAAATATTAACTCATTTTCCCAGTGCCTGTCCCTGAAGTTCAGGGAACAGCACACTCTGCAGATGGTGCCCACAGCTTGTGGGCAATTACTGCAGCATTTACTCCCTGCAGCCGAACACCGAAAGTGCCCAGATCTGCTGCGCCAGGTCCAGCAGCAGGAGCTGCCCTCATCCCTGCAGATGACTCTCCCTCTCCAGGCAGACGCTGCTGTAAACCACCAGAGGGGTTTTGCATTTCACTTCCAGAGGGGTTTTGCATTTCACTTCCAGAGGGGTTTTGCATTTCACTTCTCATCTGCTTTGGGTTGTGTAACCAAGCCCCCAGACTCCCCACCTCTAACCAGGACGATTTACAACACCGCAGACCAAATCCAAACCACAAACATGCCATACACCAGGGAAAACAAACAGAGCAGATGGGCCCCCATCCCGGCTGAGGCCTGGGGTGCTGGGATCAAAAGCACTTTTTGCTTTACTCAAATATGAAATGAGAAAGAAAATAACCTGGTGAAATGTTCATGCTCTTCTCATATCTCTGAGTGCTTTGTAACCTAGGCTGAACCCTTCTTTTCTAGCCTGTTTGCAGATCTTTGGCAGATAGGATTAACACACTGACATCAGCAGCACTTGACTTCCCAGAGGCTCAGCACCACAAAACATTGGGTTTTTTCCATTAGCATCTCCCCATTCTCTCTGCCAACCCCTCAGTGTAGACACGATTACACCATGACCCAGGAAGACAATCTCAAAATAGAGTGTTACACTCACCTCCCATGTCTACAGACCGGGAACACAATCCCTCCCAATAGCCACCAAAATTCCATGCCAGGGAAAATAAAGGCCATTACCAGAAGCCTTAATAGGGCACAAACAGCTCATGTCTGTAGCTGTCTGCAGTCATATGATGATGTGTCTGTAAAATAGTATCTGATGTTGGAAACCTTCAAAAGCATGAGAACGCCTGACCTTTGAACCCCCAAAACACCATCAGCCAAGGGCCCCAGTTGTCATGAGCCTCATAAATGTACTTTACTCTTCCTAACTGTGTCAGACAAGGAGTGCAGAAGTAAGGACTTTCCTTTTAGCTGCTCCAAACTCTTCTTATAAGGAAACCTTTTCCAAATGAGTCATGCTGCAGAGGCTTTCAAAGGCAGCACTGTTGAGCTGGCTTCTTCCTGTGGCATTTTTCCATGTTTACACAGCTAAGGAATGTGAGGTACTTCACAGACAAGATATGTGGGCTTCAAAAGGTTTAAATGCCGGCACTTTGGCATTTCATCTTTATCTTCAGCTGTGAGGTTTGGCTGATGAATATCAAACCCATCACAGCATGGCAGGAAAGCAAAGAGAAAGTCTATGACAGAGCAATTGGGTGCCAAACCAGAGGTGTTCACGTTGATCCTGCATAATTGCACAGGAGGCTTTGCTTTGATGACCTTCTTAACTCTCAATACAAAAGTCTAGAGTTTTTCATTTTACAGGCGGTTCTTCCAAGTTCCAGCCCTGAAATGATGAACTTTTATCCGTTATTGAAAGAAATTAATTAAAAAGGAGTAAACAAAACAGCAATCCCAAATCAAGCAAGTGTGCTTTGCTTCCTGAGCACACTCCAAAAGCTGGACAAACCACTCAGGATTCTTGCCTGTGGGGGAGCTCTGGAGAGCAGAAATAGAAAGGGAAAGCTCAGCTCCATCACAAAACAAGGCATGGGGAGAGGCTGGGAGCTCATAGTCAGCTTTTCCTTGACACTTCTTCCTTGCCCTGGGTGTATGTTTTTGTAACAAAGTGGGCACCATCTACCTGTTAAGATTTCAAGAAATAACTGTTTAAACATATAAGCAAGACAGGATTAGATTTGCACCTGTTCCTAAACTTGAGTTTATATAGTTGCTGCATAACTAGAAAAAATGAATCCAAGGAATAAAGTTTACTTTAGGATAACAGACTTTGGCTTATGTGGGGCTGAGCCATTATCTTCCTCGTACAGATGCTCACTCACTGAGATGGTCTAATCCAAGAAGTTAGTATAAGGAAAGCCTAGCTTTAAGTGGCTAAAATTATTTGGCTTCTTTCATGTTTATACTAAACATGTCTGAATCCATATCTGCACGAGGGACCAGAAGGCCTGGCTTCTCGTCCCACTCTGTTCATCACTCCACCGTATCCAGAGGTAATCACTCCTTGCTGATGGGTTTATTCCCATCTATATGAGTTACAAACCAAACTAACCTTTGAAGCAGAGGTTGAAATAGAGCAACATTCAGGGAAAGTGTGAAGCCTATAGCCTTGTCTCTTCTGAGTTTAGCATTCTGACTTCAGTCTCCAGGCTTGCTTTTGTGCTGCTTTTGTCTCCACTAGAACCGAGACAAGATCATTGATCGCCTCAAAGACAAACTCCAAGAGAAGACGGCCAAACTGGACACAGAAAGCTCCTACATGAAGAAAGACACAGACCTCCAGATCCACCAAACCCAGAGGAAATGCAGCAAGGAAGAGAATGCCCTGAACAACGAAATCCAGGTAAGCCCTTCCCCATGGCCCATACTGGAAGGCATCTCCAGTCAGTAAAGGGCAGAGCCCTCCCTTGCTCCCCAGATGCCCTTCCTGTTCTCCATTACAGTCACCACCACAGCTGTTTGAACTGGATCTGGAAACTCATCGGGGTTAGAAACCTTTATATTTTCCATTGCTTCTCTGTATGGTCCTGCAAACAGCAACAGCACAGATGCTGTAGCTGCAGGAGACAGTGAATGCTTAACATAATGTCACTGTCAGAAAACCAGACCCATAAGTATGTCCAAAGGTGTAGTTACAAGGGTATTTAGCACACAGGCAGCCTGAGCTCCCAGCATTGCCCCCATCAGACTGTGCTGACAGAGCTGCTCCTGTGGACCTAAGGTGAACTGGACTAGAAAACTGTTTTGGTTTTGCAAGCATCTTTTTTTGACTGATCAAAGTCTGATCTAATTGTCCCTATTTCATGGATGGCCCAGGGGCAAGGACTGCCTCAGTTAATTTTGTCACTGGAAAAAATGTCCGTGGACTACACAGAGCTCCAGCACTCTATCTTGGCTTTCAGCAGCAGTGTGTTACACACTAACACTGACTCTCACATTTTCTGTCTGCACTGATCACAGAACTTGAAGAACAAAACTGATGAGGAGATTCAGCTCCACACAGAGACAGAAAATTTCCTCAGGCAAGAGTATCAGGTATGTGTGACTGTCAGCTAATGCTTAAAATAGCAACCTATAAACATTGAATCATCAATTAATACCTAAAGAAAAACAGTTATTGCTCCACAAATGTACCAGGTTCGTGGCTGCTGCAGTTAGAATGATTACTTATCCTCATGTCTTAATTAACCCAGCTCTCCCAGAAGTGAGATCTGCTACATATAGGTACATTTCCTTAAAATTAGTGTTCATGTAATAATTGGCATTGTTTATTCAGGTGTCGCAGATTTTTCCTCCCTCAGGTAGTTGTATTCGGCTGATTGGAATGTTATTTAGACCTTCCTTGGCAGTAGCTGGGGCTCCCAGCACCTCAGGGAAGAGCACCCACTGCCCAAGGGCTGCACAGAGGGGACACTGAGGAGGGAACCACACAAACTGCCAGACCAGTTTTGCCTTATCTTTATCTGAGGAAGAGTCAGGGCTGGAGAGTTGCTAACCCACAGCTATTGTGCACATTCTCAGCAGTAACCAACCATGAATGTCCCTGTGGTGTTAACATTGCAAAGCCTCTCATAAATGATATAACTGGAAGAAAACCTGTACTTCTACAGGGTACCTGATGTCACTGCCAGTACAAAATTTAATAGGAGATAATACATTTTTTAAAATGTAATTTGAGTGCAAACCAGTGCTGTATCTTGTGAGCAATTAAACACTGCTCTGTACCCCAGAGCCTTGCTCTGATCAATGCTCACAGCAAGGGGACTGTCCAAGCCCAAGCTGCAGCCTGTCTGACCTCCAGCACACAGCCAGGCACAGCCCCTCAGTGCTCACACAGCAGCTGGTGGCTTTGCAGGGGCCCGCAGAGAGGAGGATGATCGTGCCCTCCATCTCCCTTGTGTGTCCAGCTGTGATGCCGTAATAAGATTGATGCTTTTCCTCAGATTATTTTTCCATGGAAGCAATCACGGTTGTTGCTATGGAGAAGTCATTGGTGAATGGCAGGAAGTCATCTGTGTGACTGTTTCAGAAACACCTGCCCTATTCACCAGTGAGACAAAGCCAAGTTCACAACCTGAAACAGCGTGAAGTGCTGTCCCCTGGGACCTTATTCCTGGTGCTTAATCCAGAAAGCAGATAAGGAGTCAGGCAGAGGATAAAACCTTTCCCACTGACAAATTGTTTTTTAAACACCCCCCCCCCATACACACGAAGAATGGCTTATGCTTGTCTCTTGCTTCACCAGGACTGACTGTGTACAAAACTAACCCCCAGTGCTTCTCCATCCCTCATGCACCTCTGAAAGCCCGACCCAGTCTCCTCATCCCCAGTCCAGTACCGTGGCTGCTGTGGTGAACTCCAGTGAGGGGCCTGCAGGCCAGCAGCAATTTATCCTGTATCCAGTAATTTTGTCCTAGGGGCTTGATCCTTCCAAGATGAGCCAGAAACACTGACCGTGCACCATTTACAGGACTCTCACCTCCCTCCTGAGAGCAGGCCATGTAATAGTAGCAAACCTCTCACCTGTGCACTCTTTGCACCATGCTGAGCACCAATTCCTCCCCATGCAGAAGGTGGAAGAGAAGCTGGAATACTGGATGCAGAAGTATGAAAATGACACTGACGCGAAAGAAGTAGAACTGGATGACTTAAGAGCGTTGAAGGCAGAGAACTTGGAAACAATGCAGAAATTTGCCAAGGAGGTAAGACATCAGCAGCACCTCAGTGCTCAGCCACGCAAAACTGTACCGGGCTTTTTCCTACCCTCATTCAGATAAGGAACCAGGACCATGGGAAAAAAAATAAATCAGTAACTTTGAGGCACAGGGCGCAATTATAAACACTGGTCCTGGGAAGGCAGCGACCGAGATGTCATCTTCCATTTGCCACCTGTGACATCAAGGAGGGATGATAATATTTCCCCTACAGCTATTTTCAAATACTGGCAAGTACTGAGAGAGCTACTGACAGCACTTGTGAGGGGCAAAGACACTGTCCCATCCCATCAGTACACCTCACCTTAGTTTGCTGCCTTAGTCTGAACAAATCTGCTTCTTCCAGCTCCTTCTAGCAACATCAGGGTAAGACAGGCTGGAACTGAAAAAGGCAGCTCATCCCTTCCCACAGACACACACATTCCCAGCTGCACAATGCTGTTATCAGGGAGCTGATTCCAGTTAGAACCATTCCTGCCCCACACTGGGTTCTTGGTTAACTACTGGGCTCTGATCACAGTGGAAGAGCAGCACAGGGCAGAGAGAAGTGTCTAGAAAAACGTGTGTTTTAAAGCCAGAAGGAATTAACTTGTAATCATTCCTTACCGTCACTGGGTCTGAGATGATGGGACTGGGTTTGATGTTTTCCTGCTTGTGGGCTCATTTTTCACTCTGTGCACTGTCATCTCAGAGTCCCAAGTGTGTTTGTACATCCTCTGCTGCTTAGCCTGAGGCACCACACGTCCTCCCCACCACCAGCTGTTGCCTGGGACGCCATCAGAGAGCCATTTTACAGCACGGGATCAGGGGGTTAATTACACCCAGGCCTTGAGAGGTTCCACTTTGGCAGCAGCTCCAAGTGCCTGAGGACTGACAGTGGTAATGAGCAACATTTGCCATCTGCATTCAGGAAAGATCAAACAAAGGAGGTGGGGGAGGAAGGTCCACAGTCACACATTACCCCTGTGCTGCCCTGGAGCTCCCTGGTGCACAGGGTGGGGACCCACCCCATGACCCACAGGCCTGAGCAGTTCTGGCAGGGCTGTGGGAAGTGAGTAGCAAGGATGAGACACGTAGGCAGCCAGAGGAGAAGAATCCTTGCACCAGGATCCAGGTGAGCCCTGCCCTGCCCTGCCCTGGCAAGTGGCTGGGCACAGTGAGCCTCAAAGGTTGGCCCTGCAGTTTAGGGGATGTGTTTGTCATGTGGCTTTTGCCACCCCTGTGCTCTCTTGCAGTGCCTGATGTTCGAGGAAAACATCATCACTGACCGGACAGAAAAGAAGGATAGAAAAAAACAACGAGAGCAGGATGCCCTGGAGCTGAAGAGTGCCCTGAAGGTAAAGGGGAGCAAAGCTGAGGTGATGCTGCTCCATCAGCAGCTGGGAGTTAATAATCTGTGCCACAGGCTTTGTCCAGGTAGAAAACGGCCCCATAAAGTTGGCTGGTGTGGGGTGGCACAAGCAAAGGAGAAAGCTGTCCCTTTCTGACTCAGAGCCAGCAGTTGGCTCCAGGTTTGAGATGGGAGCCAAAGGGGAGAAGCCAGTCTCCTGGAATGATCTGGGGCTGTGCCCATTGCATCAGCTCCACTGCATGGGTGACACAGGGAGGGCCATGGGGCAGTGCCTCTGCTTGTCCCTTGCCACCAGCCACAGATGCCCTGCCCCAGCTGTGGGTGCTTCCAGTGCAACCAGGAAGGCCTGATGGCTGCTGTGTGGGCTGGAGGTTCCCTCCTGTGTCTGGGGAGCACAGGAAAGACTCTCTGGCATTGAGCTGTACCAGGTACCCCAGCAAGAAATTTCCCCTGAGGCCTCTCTTTCTCACTTCCAGGTGCAGGCCTGGTGGAAAGGCACGATGGTCCGCAGATTCCTTGGCCCTTACCAGGCCCTCGAGAAGCTTCTGAAGGAACAGGCAGCAGTGCAGACAGAAACAGGGAAGGAAAAGAAAAAGTAAAGAAAGTAAAGAAAGTGCCCACAGATGTGCTCCAGGTCTGTTGCTGGGCAGAGCACTGCAGTCTGTCTGACAGGACAAAATAAACCATATAACAGAGTTCGGGCAATTCTGGAGAACACAGTTCATGACAGACACAGTTAAGGTGCAGCTGCAGTCAAGATCTTGAAGCTGCCCTTGTACAGCCTTTGTACAGCAGAAGGACAGTTTCTCCAACACAAAGGGGATTTGCGTCAAAGCAGTGAGAAACACAATATCCCCCCAAACTGCTTGATGGGAATAAGACAGATAGTGGGAGGTAATCCTGTTACCAGCCCAGTAGCTCGCTGGCATGGGATGCTCTGCACCTGGAACCTCCTGTGCAGCCCTCAAAGCACTGGCCATGGCTGGAGTGCTGGTGTTTGCTGTGGGTCAGGCAGGGAGGTCGACGCACCCACGTCTGGGCTCCAGCTGTGCTCTCCCTGCTGCCAGCGCCCGTGTCAGGTCAGCAGGGGAGAACGTGGGCAGTTTGCAGTGCAAACACAAGTACAGTCAGAGCACACAGGTTTCCACTCCCACAGCCCTGCACAATGTCAGCACGCAGACAGAGCAGCTCCTTCTGACTGAGGGGAGGAACAATGGGAAAAGACAGCTGGACGTGCTGCCTACAGGAGCTGGTCTGTCACACCAACCCCACCACCCTGGCTGCTGTCCCTGCTCAGTGAGATGGGGCTGTAGGCAGGGAGTGGATCTGCTGGGGAGCAGAACTGCTAAGAGGGCAAGAAGGGAACTCCTTCTCCCGACACCACTGTCAGTCAATCACGTGCAGGTCTGAGCAAAAAGCCCTGCAGCTGAACTGGCTCATTTCTGACTCTCCCAAGGCAGGAGATGAGCTCAAACCAGTCTGCTCTGCTCTTTGTGACCAGCCCGTGCTGGCCCCATCCAAACATCCTCATGTCCGAGCGAACTGGGAGTGAGATAAACCATGAGCAGAGAGCCTCTGGCTCAGAACTCTGAACAGGGAAAGGGGCTGGTGCCCCACTGTCAGGCAGAGTCGACTATCCAGGAGTGCTGCAGTTTCAGATGCTCCAGATAAATCCATGTTAGAAGTACCGGTGTTCCCGCTGGAGCACGGCCACTTGCTTGACACCTGAACACGTTCCTATTCCAGCACTGGTACCAAAGCTGTGAACAAATGCACTTGCTTCCCACGGTCCCCACACAGTGCTAAGAACAAGGGTAATTCCAGTGCAGTGTCAAGCCAGGACTGTGCTTACATCCCACTGCAGGAGGCATCTTAATGCACTCCCAGGAGTTACGTTCCTAATTTTAACTCTTCCTTTTCATGCGCTGCTGACTCAGTACATTTCACCACGGACTAGTGTTTTCCATATGTTGTGGCTGTTAACAGGTGACCTTCTTGGGTGGAAGGAATGAAGTTGATCACAAACTCTCCAGAGGGTTTGAGCTAAGGAAAAAGCAGGATGGGGGGGGCAGCAGATCTCTGCTGTTTATATCAAACTCCAGGCATGCTTTAGTAATGCAGCCAAACACCTGAAATCTGATGCGTGGCCTCGGCTGGGCCGCGCTCACTTCTCAGCAGAGAATAAAACAAAACTCTGGAAACAAAACCAAAAAGGGGAACAGGGTTTGCTACTCCCATAAAGTGGGGTGTGCTGAACCTCAGGTCCCAACACGACTGTCCTGGTCACTGCGGGGTCACAACAGGGGCACAGGTGTGTGACCTGACTGAACCCCGTGAGCTCACACCTCCCGGGGAGCTGCCACAGACTCTTGCTAGGGGACTGTGGCCACAGTGCCACCCCTCCAGCTCCTCCTGGCCTCCTCTGCTGCACCAGCCCATCCCAGGGGTGCTGCTCTCCGAACCAGCCTCACCTCGATCCGCAGAAACCAGGAGACTTGTGTCTCTTGGCTGTACAGCTGCCAAGCAAACAGGCTGGGCACATCCAGTGACAGGAGCAGTGTCCCAAACCCGGCAGTTCTGAGGAACTGCTCCATTTTCCCAGCTATGGAGAAATGGGATCAAAGTGTACCTCCACGGAATTTTCTGCAGGAAAATTGTGAGCCCTGTGGAAAAAGAGTTTTCCTGGGAATTAAATGGATAAGAAAGGCTGGAGATTGGGAAGCTGGTTAGGAGGAGGCTTTAGCCTGAGGGGCAGAAATAAACATCTGGAGAGAGCTGGGCAGCCCTGACAGAGGCAGGAATGGAGCTCTCCCAAGTGACTGATGGAATCACCAGGTCAGACAAGGATGCTGAAGCAGCTTGATGAGCAGGGAAGAGCAGCATAGGATAACACAGCCTGTACAGGCAGGGGGGGTCTGTGGATCTCTGGCAATTTATAGGCCTTGTGTCCTATTTTTTATTTAAATAATACAAACTAGTGGTGAGGAGGGACAAAAAGAGAAGTAAACATTCTGGCTAAGAACAAACCCAGAATAGTCTCAGTTGGAAGGGACTCAGAAGGATCTACGAAAAGTAGAGAACCAAAGCAGGTCCATCAAATGCCAACTGTGATGATGTGGAAGGGGAATAAACACCCGACACAGAGGATGTGACATTCATTGATTCAACAGAAAAACATCAGGAAGAAATACTGTAATTCATGTGAGTTTTAAAACTTTATTTCAAATATCCATGGTTTCCTTTTATATTATCAATGTGCTAGACGTTCACACTACTGGCAGAATACAGGCAATTTAAAATATACAATATTCAGACACATTTATATGTAACAGAAATTATGGAATGTATTTACAGACATACAGCACAGGATGAAGCTTTAAAATCCTTTACTCTATTAATTACACGTTTACACTGTTTTGAGAAATAACAAAATTAGATCACTTTGTAAAACATCACAGTATCCATACAAAAGCATTTTTTAGATGTCCAAATTCACCTTTCAAGTCCTCTGTTTCTGAAACAGTTTTTCAAAGAACCATTTATAGTCATAAAAGGGTAAAAATACTGTTTGCCATCCTGCTGCTACCAGAGGTGCTACAACAGAGGTGCTCTGGTGCTGTAAAGAGTTGTCTCTGATGGATTTGAAGTGGGACACCGGTGGTGGGGCCTCTCAAAAGCCTCCCCTTCAAAGGGGGAAGACCCAAACTCTGCTCTGCCCCGAGCCCCCAGTGGCTGGGATGCTCCATCTGGAGTGTGTAACCTCACTGAGCCTCAGATGCTGCCCAGGGCTCGCCAGGTTTGAGGATGGATGGTGACACCACACAGTCAGTGCAGGAACACCAGCAGCACGGAACACTCAAGTGGGTCCCGCCCACATCCTCCAACACAGAAGCCCCAGAGAGGAAAGACAATCACCTCTTTGCTTTAACAAGGAACTTTATACATGTTTTCTTTCAAATATTCTTTTCATGGGATACAACAAAAATTGCACATAAATACACTGGAAAATCCCAACCCATTTTGCAAGAGAGAACTGAAGTCAATTTGGTGTAACACATTAAATAAACCGTACGATGAAACTTCAGGTTTGGATTTTGTCCTAAACATCTGGACCAGGTTTAGTGCTTGCCAGCGTGAAAACACAGGATTACAAACGTCAAACTAACACGATCCCCTACACTGAAACTGCCAGAGTGAACATTGCTTAGAACCAAGTACCCAGTGCTGGGGACCCCCCGCCTGCCCAGACACAGCCCCTCCACGGGCTCGCACAGAGCCACGGCTGAGAGCCACAGGCAACGCAAACAGCCCCTTCTTGCCGGCCAGACTTGAGCCCCCACCACATTAATTACTAAAAACTAGTATTAATGAAATGTCAAACTTCCACCAACCTGAATAGTATTAAGTTTCATTCTTTTAAGTGCTGGAAGCTGGACTGAAGCAATCACCACACCCTTTCAATTCCATGAAGGGACTGGTTTTCTTCAAACAGAGAGATTTAAATAGCCCACAAGAGGCGTGCTGCTAAATGCAACATGTCCCTGTAACAATACAGGTGACCTTATGTTGGAAACCAAGATGAAGTCAGTGCCCCCCTCTCTCAGATGATGTGCAAAGACAAACACACCAGGAACACCTGTGTCTGCGTCTGTGCTGTTGCCAGCAAGTGGCAGAACCTTCCCCTCAGCAAACTGCAGCAGAGCCTTCAGACACCTCTATGTAACCCTTTGAGAATGAGAACGCTCCTCACAAACAAAATTAAGTGAAACACAAGAGCTGCTTCAGGGGGAAAGAATGCCCGTCTGGAGCTGCTCTTCCTGTGTGTACTGTGAGTTACTGGCACCTTTAGGCATCAATTCCTTGCAGGGCTCAGGAAGAGCATGAGGAGGTTTCTCTTTGCAGCCGGGCAGTTTTAAACACCCTCCAGGTGTTTTCTCCACTTGCAGCATGATCAGTCAATGCCAATAAGAAGCAACCAAAATAATGATGTGAAACAAGGGATTCAACAGTCACCACAATGGACCTTGAAAGAAACACATGAAGCAAAACAAAGTGGACACAAAACTGCAAATCAAAAGGGAAAAAACGCAGCTAAGATGAGTCCTTGGCAGCTCCTACCACAGGTTTACTTCTGCAAAAATGACTTTTAGCTAACCTGTTCCCATTTCTTCTTTCTTTATCTGCATAAAATCCTCTTGGTGTATTCTGCTTCAAATGCATCCCCAAATGGAATACTACTGATGCCTGCAGTTGCTTTCAGACCCCAAGCACTATGTATTAGTAGCATAACATTCTGGGATGCTTGAAATTGGGCAAAACCTGACAGAGGAACTGCATGGGTGGAGACCTGGATTTTGTGAGGTCTTTTTTTGGGGAAAAAAAAATTACTGTAATTGATCTGGTAGTGAGCTTGGCCTCGTCACTAGGAGCAGAACACACAGAGCTGTCCTTGTTTTGCACATCAGTTTTCCAAGAAAATGCAAAACTTGTCGGCTGCCTCTCCCCTTCCTGTACACTGAATTTCCATTTTTATGTTAAGGAAAGAGGAAGTAAAACCACCACATCTCTCTACATAAACTCCAATGATAAAGGGCTTTATTGAAAGCCTTGTCAAACCCCCCAAAGAGAAGCTGTGTTTGCACAGGCCCTGCTCTGACAACACCCAGCCCACCTCGGGATCTCACTGGGCTCTAACCCTAATACAT